GCAACGCTAGCCCACCAAGTAGAGGCATGTCTTTGAAACTTTGCCGCCACTAGCTTGACCTTCTTGTCTTCGGGCACGTCTTTGAGTGTAAAGACGTCTTCAACTTTTGCTAGCCACTTTGAGAACTTCTCCGGGTCGTTTCTTCCCTCAAACGTGGGAATCTCCACTGAATTAGTGAGCTCCTTGATTTGTTTCATCACAAGCTCAACTTCCTTCTTTAGTGTTTGGGCAGCAGTTAATTCCCCTTGAAACATGTTTTGAGAAAAGGTTGGCATGGTGGATATATTGCTTGAAGAGTGTATGGTTGACAAAAGAGATGAGGGAGGCGTGTCAAGATGATCCCTTAGGGATGTTCAACACAAAGCTTTGATACCAAATGTTAGGGGTAAACCGGGGGTCTTATCAAGTTGATAATTTAGCTTAGTGGCGGATGTGCGGAGGAAAATGCAAGGGAAATAGTGGGCGAAAGTATGGAGGGTGTTTTAGGAGTTCTTTTTTTTGGTATTTTATGGAAGAAAATGAATAGGATTAAGAAGGAGAAATGGGGGGATATGAAATGGAAGAAAATTAGGGATGGATAAATCAAGTTGGTGTTTAAGAGATATTACACACTCTTATCCTAACTTGAGGTTTGAATCTAGAATTTAATTAAGATATGACACACTTAATTAAATATCTAGAACCTAAAACTCACACTTAAGATAACCATTCTTAAGATATAGAATTAGGAATTTGGCTAAAATAGCATCACACTATTTTAATAATACTCAAAGAGTAAAAGATTTTCAATATTCAGAGATTGTGTTACAATGGCCATAAGACCTGAGTTATATAGGCAGGGGAAGGGGGAAATAATACACAATGCAATGAATGTGAACATAAGGAAGCTTCCTAGCAACATCCTCTCTCAAATCCCTGAAATATCAACCATGTTTTGAGGTTCTTTTATTGGAATAAAATCAAGGATGGGTGTGGTTGTAGGGCCTCCAAACCAGGGGGAATGAATGGCCTTCTTTTGGGCTGATTTTGGGGGATGTATTCAGCCAACTAGGGAGACAATGGGAAAGGATAATGTGTGGTACTCTGGCTGCATATATGAGGATTTATTTGGTGGTTAAAGGGTTAAGAAAGTACCATGTTTCTCCTGGACTTTTATGGTTGTTTAGTGGGTTGTACTAGGGAACATAGTAGGGACCATGTTGGGTGGATGTTGGAAGATGAATGGAGCTGTTTTGGTTTCCTATTGTGACCATGGATTAAAATATATAGAAGAGAATTTATTTGGATATCAAAAGGAAATAAAATACTTTTGGATGTTTGGGGTTGGGTTGGACGGAAAAGGGGGTTGACCAGCGGAACCCTTAGGTCAAAAACGAAAGTTATTTTGGCTTTTCGGGCTAAAGGACATTGAATTCTCACTAAAATGGATCATAATGTTTGAACCTAAGTCCTTTGGTTTCCATGAGGGTGTGGGATATGGGGGAGGGTATGATAGGCTCGGGCCCAGATATATCAGCAGGCGTAGTGTTTTTCGAGCCTTGCACGTGAAACTTTTTAATTTTCTTAAAACTGGGTGGTGCTGAGTTTCGAACCCGTGACCTCTTAGTCAACAAGGCTCCGATACCATGTCAAGGAACTAATTCAACTAAAAGCTCAAGCTTGTAGTTGTGGCCCAGGAAGAATTATTTATATTCTAACAGTGTCCTTTAAAATCAGTGGGAGATGGTGTGTTGATATCAGGAAAACTGGACTCATAAAAAATGACATGACGCGCGGTAATGATTTTATAGCTCTGAAGGAGTGAAGATCAAGATACTAAATCAGCGTCAGCAGGGGCAAAGCTAGTAAGGAGCAACTGACTGCAATTGCAGTCACTTAAAATTTCGACTTAAACCAAAACGACGTTGTTTTGGCGTTTTGACAAAAAAAAACGGATAAATTCCTCTAGCAAATTGGCAATACTCTTTGTTTCTCCACCCATCATATATCCTTAAATCTCAAATCTCAATTCTCCCTTTCAATTTTGTACTTTTTCTTAGCATCTACCAATCCATAACCTGCTATTCATCTCTCCATCTCCATCGGAAAATGTTCCTGCGGTGGTTAATCTTCAATCGGTAATTGATTCCTGACACCGGCGGGTAACGAAGTGATGGACCTATTCAACCGGTAGTCCGGTTGTGCCGAGATGGCGGAGGGTCAATTGGCAATTGGTTCCTCATTCCTCAAGTCCTCAATTTTAGGTTGTTCTTATCTTATTATTTAAAATTAAAAATTTGGGTTACTGATTTTTTTATTTTTCTTTTTATTTTATTCACAAAGATGATTTATGTTTGTTATATTCCGAGAAATTACCAATAAGTACAATAACAGAATGTGTGGATTGTTGCTGACATCACAAAGATGGTAACTTTTTCCGGAGTGTAGATTGATTTTAGTAACAAAATGTTGAAACTCTTCACAAAGTGGTAAAAAGAAATTATGCAATTTTGGTAGCTTTGGCTGTCCTTTTCTTTGTCCCTTTGTTGTAGTGTAGCTCCTTCTGTAACATATTCTTCTACATAGAATCTGAATTATTGTTTTGGTTTTTCCTGTGTAGATAAGTTAGTGAATAAAAATCATTCCTTTTGATTATTTTTTAGATTGTCTCTTGTTCTTGACTTGGGATTAGCTTCTCCGCAGCGTCAGATGGGTAGCCAAGAAAAATGCACTAAGCCGAGCATAGGCTAATTTGTGTGGATTGTGGAGGGGAGATTGGAACAGCACAGGGAACCAAATACTCAAAGGTGGAAGTAACTGGGATGGGTGGTGTGCAATAAAAGGATTTATGAGGGGTACGCTTTTGTAAGGTGATGGTAAGTATAGATGGAGGAGATGTGTAGCCATTTAGAGCAACATCAACCCCTAGGGTAAACTCACTAAACTGTGGTAGTGTAAAATCTATTTTACACTATTAATAGTATTTTACACATCTATTTTTTATACTCATTCCAACCATATCTTTTATAGTACAAACTTTTATAATTTTTTTTGTATTTAAAGTTATCTATTTATAACAATTATTTTTAATTCATCCTTTAATAATAAAGTGATTAAATTGGATCACTTGACCTGAGAGAGGGCAGCGATTTAGGAAATTGGAAAAAAGAGGCAAATAGATATTGTTAGAGTCTATCCCACATCGGAAGTTGAATAGAAAATTAATCGGTATATAAGCTCTTGAATTGGACTTAGGCCCCGTTCCGTTCAACTTATTTTTTCTTATTTTTTCTTATTCTTATTAAAATCAGATCAAATCAGATCAGATCAGATCAGATCCAATCAGATCAGATCAGATCAAATCCAATCAGATCAGACTAGATCAGATCAAATCCCATCAAGAATTAATATTATTATTATTATTATAATTATTATTATTATTATTATTATTATTATTATTATTATTCTTGTTGTTGTTGTTGTTGTTGGTGTTGTTGTTGTTATTATTATTCTTAAAAATGAAAAAGAATACACTTTAGAAACAAGTTAAATAGAAAACTGAGAAACTAATACTTAATTATTAAACGTCGGAAAAATTATTTTTAAAATACATTGACAATGTCAATCTAATTATACTTCTAAAATACATTTTTATTGCTACTTGTAAATTGAGTTTCTAAAGTTTTGATCTTTTATATGGATGAGATGTTTTAATAAAAATACTATCTCTTCTATATATTGATTATCTAAATTTAATTACTTTTTAATGTATATATAAACTAAATATTTATTCTAATGTATATATGAAGTAATTATTAAAATATTAAATTAATATTCCAATTTCACAAAAAAATAATCATAAAATAAAAAATATTATTACATTATAATATGAGTCATTATTCTAAGATATGAATTAACTAATTTTATTTTATTAAAAAATAATCATAAAATAAAAAATATTGATTATATTATAATATGAAGTATCATTACAATTTTCAAACGTTATTATAAAGTCAAATCAAATTATTGATTTGAATTTTAAATCAAATCATAATTAATCAGATCAGATCAGACCAGATCAGATCACATCCAATCAGATCAGATCAGACTACATTAGATCAGATCCAATCAGATCATATCCAATCAGATCAGATCAGATCAAATCAGATCCAATCAGATCAGATCAGACCAGATCAGACCAGATCAGATATGACCAGAACTACAAAAAATCAGATCGGATTAGAAAAAAATAAGTTGAACGGAACGGAGCCTTAGTAATTGATTGATTCAATCTTTTAATGGGGTTCAATCCAAATGTCTTATTGCTCAATCCAACTATCCCTTCACATTTTAAATTCTGTCATGGTATCGGAGTAAGTTTTGGTCCACCTCCTTTGTCAAGGTGCTTGTCTAGACATTCATTCCTAACGGCCTGTATGTGCCCGTTTAACCTGATTGCTCGTCTAGAAGTCCATACCCAGCGGCTTGTTGTCCTTTAAGTGTTGGTGCTCAAAAAGAAAATCAAGGAGATGAGAATCTATTTGCAAGTGATCAATCAGTTAGATTCAAAATGGGCCGATTGTTCACTTGAGGGAGAGTGTTACAGTCTATCTCATATCGAAAGTTGAATAGAATATTAATCACTATATAAACTCGTGAATTGAACTTAGTAATCAATTGAATCCAATCTTTTAATGGTTCAACCCAAGTGTCTTATTGTTCAATCCAATTATCTCTACCACATTTTAAATATAAAGATTGTTTTTGTGCATGTTGAGCCGAGGGTCTCTTGGAAACATCCTCCCTACTTCCGAGTAGGGGCAAGGTCTGCATATACACACCCCCCCCGACCCCACTGTAATGGGATTCAACTGGGTTGTTGTTGTTGTTATTTTAAATATAAAGATTCGGATACTGAGAGCTACGATTTTGGAGAGCACAGAGTTTGGAATTCACGGATCAGAGCAGAGCAAATTGAGAAGGGTGGATGGAAAATAAATAAAGATGAAGGGGAAAGAGTGAAAAGTGAATCCAATAGGTGAGAGAAAATATTTTTTATTAGAGTAAATTCCCAAAATGAATCTTTGTAATAAGGTGTTTTCCCAATTCAGTCCTCAATAAGTTTTAATTACCTACAAGGTCCTCTATAATTGAGATTTATTCCCAAGATTGTCTTTCGTAAATAATGTTACTCAAATGATGATTAATTGGGAGATATTTTGGTATTTTGACCATCCAAATTTAAATTATATTTTCGAAACAGTCATTTCTGTACAACTAAATGTAAAATGTAAAAAATACATTGACTATAAATAATTCATGAATTATTTAAAACTTATAAAAAAATCTTTTAAATTTCAAATCAAATACACATCATTAATTAGAAAAAACCATTTTGGAAAGCACTTCATTATAAATGATCATTTTAAAAATAAATTCTAAATTTAGCGGATAAAAATACAAAAATACCCTTAATTAATCTTCATTTGAATAACATTATTTACGAAGGACCATCATGGGAATAAATCTCAATTATAGAGGACCTCGTAGGGAATTAAAATTTATTGAGGACTGATTTGGGAAAACACCTTATTACAAAAGACTATTTTGAGAATTTACTTTTTTTATTATTTGCACTATATACAACAACATTTAGAAATAGGAGTTCGAGAGTGCTTTTTGCACTATATTGTTTTGGATAATGTTATTTGTACCCCAAGAATTTGTACCCCATTTTGTACACCGCAGGGATTCGATGCACCACCATTTTGTGTTGGTGCAATGCTAATTTTTGTTAACGCACCAACACTTTGTGTTAGTGTAAAAATTTTGTTAACGCACCAACACTTTGTGTCAGTGTGAACCATCAAAATGTTGGTGCATACCTTTGGTGTACAAATGGGGTATAAATTTTGGGGTACATGTAGCATGCTCCTAGTGTTTTTTAGCATTGGATATTGGATTTACACACTCCATTAGAGTAAGATAAAATGATTCCATCTCGGATAAAAGAGTTGTTTTTGGATTTATAACAACTCTTATAAATGTGGGGAAATCCTAAAGTCTTAATTTTTGTTACCACACTTAGTCAAGTGTGGCAAATTAAATGCGGCTAAACCCCAGTTTTCTTGTAGTGTATATTTAACGATATATCCTATGTATTGGAGTTGCTCTTAAAGTGTCTCTACCAGAAAGCAAGAGGAGATTTGCTTGAAATAAAAAGGATCATATAGTATTCTTAGAGCTTATTCTTTAGGGCTTAAACTCTTAACTTCCAGTTTCTTCCGGTTTCTTCTAGTTCCTTCCAGTTTCTTCCAACTATTCTCATTTTCTTCAAACTCTTTCTACTCCTCAACCAATTACTCTAAAAAAGATATATTTTAATGTGATTATTATTATTATTATTATTATTATTATTATTACAACTGTTATGTCCATAACTATAGTTTATAAATTATTTTTTTCGTCTCACTATTTTTACGATTCACACTCATTATTTTTTCTTCAACTTTTTAATATGAATAAGAAATTTTTTTATATATTAGTCTACATGATAAAACAGGAAAACATCAATATGTTAAATTATATTAACAAAATTATGGATAAAATAGTGAAATTGAATGTTTTATTAATCTAACTATATATAAGATCTCTCACATTTCCCTTTATTACTTAAAATTTGCTCATTTTTCTAATTTTTATAAAAAAATTGTAAGTCAAAATAGTTTAGAGAAAAAGACTAAAATAGGAGTAAAACATAAAAAATTTAAAAAAAAAAGTTCTATGTCTTTATTCCAAAAATAGGACTTCAATGAAAATAAAATGTCAATCATGAAAGAAAAAATAGGTTTGATTGCATTATGTGACATGTCTGATATTTAAAACAAAATCTTGTAATATATAAAGTATAATTACAAATATATTATTTATAATAAATACTACATAAATAAATTGAGGTGCAATATAACCCAAAGACTTTTTAAAATTTAATATTTTTATATTTATGCTAACTTTATATTATAATTATTTTTTTGCAAAAGAAGTTTTTGTATTTAAAAAATAAAAAAACTTTTTTTGTATAATAATAATAATAATAATAATTTATAACAACAAGAATTTAAAATAAATGTTTTTAAAGTTTTTTAATGTTTTCCAATTTTTTGAAGTTTTTCCAGTTCCTTCCATTTTTTTCCAGTTTCTTTCAACATCCCGTTCTTTTTTTTCAGTCCTAAAGAACAGGCCCTTAGTGGTGTAGACATAGTTTTAAAAACCGGATCGGTCGGTTCGGACCGGGAACCGGCGATCCAGGAGCCAAACCGGTTCGCTCCAGCCTCAAAGACCACCATGTGCATTGAACTGGCCCAAACCAGCTTGAACTGGTAAGAACCGGCTGATTTGACCGGTGAGCGGTTTTGTTTTTGCACAATCCACCATCCATGCTACAATCCCTTTTGTTACCTAAAGACATTATTAGTTATATATTACATTCTTAAAAACATACAATTATACACATTCTAAAAGACTTTTTTATTTTTAAAAATTTTGAAAACATAATTTGAAACTGTGATTCAAACTCTAAAATATTGATGCAATTGATTCTAATATGAACTTCATTTCACAAAACTATTAACTTATTTAAATATTTTCGAAAAAAATTGTGTAAATTATAAAATAAAAAATATCACCTCTTATTTTATAATTTTTTTATTTGTTTAAATACCCATTTGTTTCTATTTAATGCGACTACTCAAATAATTAAATTTCTTATAAATTTAGTAATACATCATAAATTCTTTATTTATAGATAAAGGAAGTATTTTTTCATTAAATATTATGTTTCATGTGTATATATATATATATATATATATATATATATATATATATATATATAGTTATTTATATCTTAAAGATGTTTAAACCATTGATTCTATTAGTTGAACTATTAGTGAACTAATACTTTGACCGCTTGGGTAACCCTTACTTTGAAAACTATGGATACAATCTAGAAGGAAATGTTTTCTTTTAAGTTTTGTGAAAACGACAAGAGTAGGCTAGAAGAAAACAGTTCATATGTACAACTGCAACTATACACAACAGCAAATGCTGGTGCTCTCCTAGACACAGCGGGACCGATTATAGGTGGCCTTGCTAGCGCAGCAGTATAGGACGACATAAATGATCGAGCGTAAGTTTTTTTCGAACATTTTTTATTTATCTAATTTAATCTTAAAATGTTCTATATGATTGAATATATTGGATCCTATTTAATTAGACCTGATTTAGTTTGATGTGATTGGATTTGATGTCGTCTAATCTGAGTTCATTTTGATAAAAATAAAAAAAGTAAAAAAAGTAAGTTGAAAAACCGTCCCTAAATGGTACTCCAGTTAAAAAAGGATTACATTCGATTCGGAAAATACACCATTTTGTTTAGATAATTTTATTTATACATTTATATAGAAATAAAAAGTGGGCTATATAATTTTTAATATTAAAAAACTACCTAAAAAATTCTATTAAACAAATTGTGACATGATAATTTTATTTAATCAAGGTGCAAGGACAAACAAAAGTTAATTTAAAAGACGAAATAGCAACTAGGCCAATTTTGTATGAAGGGAGAAGTTTGTTAGAAGAAAAAAATAAATATCTAATGTTAGCTTGGTCAATAAAGAGTAAAGTCTGTCTAACTTCAATTTTCATGATAAACATAATCGTATTTTATTGTCGTTGTTTGGAGTCTAACTTAGTCATTGCGTGGTTTCGCACCACTAATTAATGAGCTGAACAAAGCCCCTCGCTTAAAGGGTCCTTCCCCCGTCTTATTAAAAAAAGAGTAAGGGCTGTTTGGCAACTTCTGAATGGGTAAGTACTGAACCAGTAAGAGGTCTGAACCATTAAGTGCTGAACCAGTAAGAGGTCTGAACCATTAAGAACTAGTATATTGCTTAACTATTCAGAGGCAAATGTCTGATCAATTCAGATAAGAGGTCTTAACCATTCAGACTCTGTATAATACTTAATCATTCAGAGGCAAATCTATTAACCATTCAGACATCTGAACTATTAAGAGGCTGAAACAAACAGTCTGAACCATTAAGTGCTGAACCATTCAGACATCTGAACCATTAAGAGGCTGAAACAAACAGCCCCTAAATTTCATATTCTTCATATTTATTCCCCACATATGAAATATCAATAATTAAGTCTCCAATTATTATATTTTTCCCAAGAATGGTCCTCTATTAACATTTTCGTTAAGAACATATATGAAATTGTAAATTCACTCTTCTCTCTCCACAATTAAGCTTACTCTCTCCTCTCGTACTCCTTCCCAAACCCGTCATTGAGTTTGAAGCTCTGAACCTAAAACCGGAACCATCACTCATCTCTCAATTGTTCATCTTCTTAATGGAACCCAAAATCAAAATCAATAATCTTCATGGATGAGTTTCATGGGTTAGTCTTAGAAAATTGCAAAGAAAACAAACCTTGAAACTCATCTATGAAAGTTACTGGTTTCGATTTTGGGTTCCACCAAGAAGACGAACAATTTAGAGAACAATGATGGTTTTGGTTTTGGGTTCAGAGCTTTGAACTTAGTGACAGGCTTGGGAAGAAGTACTAGAGGAGAGGGGAAGCTTAGGGAGCATTCCGTTCAACTTATTTTTTTATACTTATTACTTATTCTTATTAAAATCAGATCAGATCAGATCATTCTTATTACTATTATTATTATAACTGTTATTATTATTACTATTATTATTATTATTTCTATTATTATTATTATTTCTATTATTATTACTATTACTATTAATAATACTATTGGTACTATTATTATTTTTCCTATTATTACTATTACTATTAATATTATTATTATGACTATAATTATAATGACTATTGTTGTTACAATTATTACTTTTATTATTAATACTATAATTATTATTTCTATTATTATTATGATTACCATCATTATTAGTAATATTTCTATTATTATTATTATTATTGTTTCTATTATTATCATTACTATTTTTATAGTATTATTATTATTATTGTTATTTTTATTATTACTATTCTTATTACTATTTTTATCATTATTTCTATTATTATTAATATTTATTTTATTATTACAATTTCTATTATTATTGCTATTATTATTAGTATTATTATTATTGTAGTTGTTATTATTATTACTATTATTATTACTATTGCTATTATTATTATTATTTGTATTATTATTACTACTATTAATATTTCTATTATTATTAATATCATTATAACTATTATAATAATAATTTAAATTTAAATTTAAATCAAATTTATATCAAATCAGATCCAATCAAATCTGATCACACCATAGTAGATCAAATCAGACTAGATCATATCATATTAGATCAGATCCAATCATATTAGATAAAATCTAATCAGATGAGATTAGATCCAATCATATCATATCAGAATTTCAAAACATTAGATCGGGTGAATGGAATGCAATCATAATTGAGGAGAGAGGGGAGGGTGAATTTACAATTTTTATCCGTGTTCTTAAGAGAAATGTTAACATAGGACCATCCGTGGAGAAAAATATAATAATTGAGGACTAAATAATTAATATTTAATGTGTTGGGACTAAATATTAAGAATGACCTATAATTGGAGAACATTTATAGAATTTACTCTTAAAAAAATTTTGGACATTTAAGATTGAATTCGAAAAGAATTCTCATAGTATATCACCCTAGTTTAGCGTGAAATTTACTCGAGTCGGCCTACTATGCGAGCTGGACAAGATTGAAGTCGAAAAGAATTCTCATAGTATATCACCTTAGTTTAGGGCGGAACTTAGGTCATGTTTTCTTCAAATTATTCTTTTAACTTATTATTTATTCTTATTGGAATCAGATCAGATCATACCAGATCAGAAATAGATTTAAATATAACTAAATTCAATCAGATAAGACCAGATCAGAGAAAACTTACAATCACATAATAGGAAAAATATGAACTAGAAAGTTTAGTTTAATAAATGTAGCAAGAATTAAGATATTGGAAAAAGAAAACTGTGAAAATTATTTTGGTGGACGCGCCACCTTAGAGCAACGGAAATGGGGCTGACGGCCCCCGGCGTTAATCGCCGTTTGACGCCCTTTGGGCGTTAAACACCGCCTCCTTGTGGCGTTATGGGGCATCAGCCCCAACGCGTCAAACGTTTAACGCGTCTCCCCCCCTCCCCCCAACGGCCAAAACGGCTAAAATAGCGTTAATCAAAAAAAATTAAATTCAGAAAAAAATCTATAAATTCAATTAAAACAAACCTATCTCTCACACATCTCTCACTATCTTCTCTTTACAATTCTATCAAATATACTTTCAAATATTTGATTATTTATTATAATTATTATAAAATATATTTTAAAAATAGGATCATCTTCATCCAATGATGAAAAAAGAGCTCTCATTTTTCGTTGTTTCACCATGAGTTGTTATCAATGGTGGCAACAAGGCGAAGAAGAAGGAGACGAATCCTCCCGATGCCGGACCCGACGACAACGTTTAAACCGGGATCGAGCGGCTGCCCACGCTTCACTTCTCAACGACTACTTCAATACTCTGTGTGTTTATACGCAGAAGGATTTTAGTAATCGTTTTCGGATGAGTCGTCCTCTCTTTTTATGCATACTCGCCGATGTTGAACGCGAGGTGCCTCCGTTCAACTTATTTTTTCTTATTTTTTCTTATTCTTATTAAAATCATATCAGACCAGATCAGATCAGATCAGATCGAATCAGATCAGATCAGATCACACCAGATCCAATCAGATTAGATCAGATCAGATTCAATCAGATCAGATCAGATTAGATCAGATCAGATCCCATCAAGAATTATTATTACTATTATTATTATTATTATTATTATTATTATTATTATTATTATTATTATTATTATTATTATTATTCTTAAAAATGAAAAAGAATAAACTTTAGAAACAAGTTAAATAGAAAACTGAAAACGTAATCCTTAATTATTAGACTTCGTAAAAATTATTTTTAAAATACATTGACAATGTCAATCTAATTCTACTGTTAAAATACATTTTTATTGCTACTTATAATTTGAGTTTCTAAAGTTTTGATCTTTTATAAAGATGAGATATTTTAATAAAAATACAATCTCTTCTATATTATGATTATCTAAATTTAATTATTTTTTAATGTATATATAAATTCAATATTTATTCTAATGTATATATGAAGTAATTATTAAAATATTAAATTAATATTCTAATTTCACAGAACAATAATCATAAAATAAAAAATATTATTACATTATAATATGAATGATTATTCTAATATATGAAATAACTAATTTTATTTTATTAAAAAATAATCATAAAATAAAAACTATTGATTATATTATAATATGAATTATCATTACAATTTTTAAACGTTATTATAAAGTCAAATCAAATTATTGATTTCAATTTTAGATCAAATCAAAATTAATCAGATCAAATCAGACTAGATCAGATCAGATCCAATCAGAACAAATCAGATCCAATCAGATCAGACCAGATCAGATCAGATCGAATCAGATCAGATCAGATCCAATCAGATCAGATCAGATCAAATCCAATCAGATCAAATCAGATCAGATCAGACCAGATCAGAGCTACAAAAAATCTGATCAGATCAGAAAAAATAAGTTGAACGGAACGGAGCTTTAGTAGTGTCCAGAAGTGCACTGCCGCGCTTCGTCAGATGGCGTACGGGACGACATCTGATATGTTCAACGAATACTTGAAGATGTCGGCTTGGAGCATCAGGTCCTGTGTTTATAAATTTTCTAAAGCTATTATTGGAATTTATCATAAAAGATATTTACGCAAGCCTACAGCGAGCGACATTCAGCAGTTACAGGCAAGGCATGCCGCTAAACACGGCTTCGTCGGCATGCTTGGGAGCATTGATTGCACGCATTTGGAATGGAAAAATTGTGCCACTGCGTGGCATGGTTAGTTCTCCTGGAGGGATCATCCCAAGCCTACTATCATGCTCAAAGTTGTTGCTTCAAATGACTTGTGGTTTTGGCACGCTTTTTTCGGTGTCGCGAGCTCGAACGACGACATCAACATTCTCGATCAATCGCCAGCTTTTGACGATTGGATTAATAAGACCGCACCCGACTCGTCTTTTGAGCTTAGAGGGACGCTTTAGAAGCGTTGATATTATTTGGCCGATGGAATATATCCAGATTATTCAATGATTGTCAAACCCTCTCCAAACCAATGGGTCTTAAACGCCAGGCCTACAAAAAAGCTCCCGAGGCGGCGAGAAAAGATATTGAACGAGCCTTTGGGGTCTTGAAGGCTAAGTGGCACATTCAAGATCGTCCGTCCAAATGTTTTTCTCAAACAAAAATGAGAAATATCATGTACGCATGTATTATTCTTCATAATATGATCGTAAAGAACAACGGGTTTGCGATTTGTCAATACAACCCGGACGAGGAGGTGCCTATGTACGAAGAAATCGATAAAGAAAAGAAACGAAGAAACCCCCAAGAAATTCGAAGCCGAGAGATTCACAATGCACTAACGGCGGATTTGATTGAACATATCTTCAGTCGCTCAAATAATTAGTAATTTGTTTGTAGTTTTTTTTATGGATGTAATATTTTTTTAATGAATGTAATTTTTTTATGAATGTATTTTTTTATGGATGTAATATTTTTTTAATGAATGTAATTTTTTTAATGCACTATTCTCCTTTCGATTATTTAAAATTATTAAAATTTATTATTTTAAATTTAGAAGATGTATATTTAAAAATATAAAAAATGAAGGTTTGAAGCCCCTGTTTGAAGCCCCGGGGCTTCAAACCCATTTCCACTGAGTCTGTGATGTAAGTTAAGTTGATGTGGCAGAAAGAAAAATTTTGAAGTTCCAATTTGAAGCCCGGGGCTTCACGGGTATTTCTTGTGCCCTTACTTTTGTGCACCCTTTTTGAAATGTTTAATCTTTTGTAATATTTTAAATTGTTTGTAATTTTTTTTCCACGAAGTGCAATCCTCAAATCTAGTGCCATCATCTTGGTGTTCTCACCTAATTCGTGTAATCTATCAAGTTTGTTAATTGTTCTTCAAGTTTATATACTAATCCCTCCCTTTTCTAAAACTCTTTCTCTTTCATTTTTTTGTTTTTCTTAAAACACTTCCTTTTTCTATTAAAAAATCACTTTTACCCCTACTTTTTCATACCCTACTTATCACATCATATTTTTTCACTAATACTCCGTAACAAAATTATCACATCTTATTTTTACCCATCACATCAAGGGCAAAATTGGAAAATTAACTAAAATTATATTTTCTTTATTTTGTCCCAAAGTCAAAACAAGAATCATTTTTGGAAATGGAGGGAGTACCTCTCTATAACGCTTCCTCACCTTTACAATTCCTCCTAAAACTCCGTATTAGATTTCAGGCAAATGCACATTTCCTCCTTCATTGTCAACTAGAGGAATCTAAAGCGAAAGATAATTAAGTACTGTAATTTACTCACATCGATTTGGTCTTTAAATTGTAGAACCATCTCAGAGCAAGAGTCGGTGATTTGACATATCCGATCCGCCGGCGAGTTCACCCGGTCACTGCCGCAGTCTCCGTTCAGCTTAGGGAACCCCCAAAACCTTTTCCTCTCTGCTTCAACATCGGAAAATGAACCGGAAACGTCGGCAGCAACAATTAGCCAGTATTTCCGAGAGATTAAGGGATAGAAAGGGGGCGTTGAATTACCAGGTTTCCGATCTGGAAAAACGGCGACAAGCGTAATGCAATCTCCGGGACAAGCGACGTGAGACAGAGCCCAGGCCATCGCCGCCTTGGAGACCGGCTTCTCCGCTTTGACGGCGACGATAACTTTCTCCGACGGCGGGGCAACCGCGCGCGGCATCGAGGAGGCGCGGAGGTCGGATTTCGGTTGTAGCATTTTGATCGGAGAAACGGCGGGAGAGAAAATGGGGGAGGAAGGTGGGGAGTTTTGAGAAGTTAATTGGGTAACAAACTTGACAGGTTAGCAGGCGGCAATAGGTAAGCCATGACTGTGCTTTATTCATACAGAGCACATTTCATGATTCAGTTCGACCAACTTTCGCGGGTCCCAACTACAATTTTGTTTTAGATCTGGCCGGTAATCAATTCTCAAATTTTGGAGAGTTGAAGCATTGAATTTGGAGGTTGTTGAATATTTGAAGGACTATTTATGAATTTTTGAAACTTGAAGGACCAATCGTGCACAACTCACAAAGTTGAAAGTTCAATGGTGGCCATGGATTTTAGCCTTTTTTCAAACACATCATCTTTTATACGGAGTAGGAGTACATTAATTATTCGCTCCAATGTATGTCCAGTTTGATTTTTTTAGTCAAAGTCAATCAACTATGAGTTTCAATTACTCTCAATTTGTGTTACATATTAGCATAATGACAAAATAATTTGAAAGTTCTAAATAAGAAAAATCTAAGAAAATAATTTTTATGCTAAAACACATTACAATTTTTATTCAATTGAAGCTCAAAGTTTATCTAGTTTCTATTGAAAATGTCAAACTAGTTAAATACACTGGGACGAAAGAAGTAATTTGTTTGAGGTCCATTCATTTATTTTAGTTTGTTTGAAATAATATCATAAAATAATATTTCTTTTGACCTAGTTTAAATTACGCATTAAAAATTACAATAATTGTTTGAATTTATTTTTAATTCAATTTATTTAATTGTAAATATAAAATTAAAAAAATAAAACTTATATAGGAGTATAAAATAAGAACAATTTTTTTAAAAAACAAAAAAGTACATATAGTCTTATTCGCGGGAAAAAAATGTTGGTTATGAAAAAAGTATGTGCAATGAACTCAAAAAGTTAGTGACTCATAAAACAAGTCAACCCTCATAGCAATCCATGACGACTTGTACGATCATGTTATGCTAGAAAAAGAATTTATGTCAAATGCTGACCGGGCGCATAGAAAACCTGAAAAATATAGTCAAGGATTTTAACAAATCACTTTTGAACTGGTGATGCAAAAATTCTAAGCGGTAGTTGGCTCCTCAAAAACATGATAGTACCTTCAAGATTTTTTACTTAAACCTTGAAAGAAAATTAGTTCAATCCATGTGATTAATTATCTTCCTATTTACAACAGCAGCAAGAAAATTTTGCAGCCCAAAAATTTTTACGCAACCGACAACCTTTCCAATTAAACTGCCCATGTTATTCTCTCTTCTAAATAGCCGTAGAGCTCTACACGGCAACAACCGCTCATGTTTCTTATCCACCACATCTCAACCTCTTCAGCGCCTTCTCCATAGCTTCTTCCCCTCAATCCTTCAGGCCCTCTCGCTGATAATTATATTGTGATTCAAAGATAGAAGGCTGCTGGTTCATTGGTGGAATCTTGTGGATCTATCCACCCGCATTTTAAAGAGAAATAGGTACCCAATTTGAGGATGAGGATGATTTGAGGATGAGGTAACACCTTTTGTTCTTTCTATTTTAATTTCTATATATTTATAGTAGTATTTAATTTTAAGATTTTTTTACATTTATAGAAGAAGGCATTCATGGCCAGGTCGGATGGTCATGGTGTCCGTTAATGACAATGCAGGGTTAATTTGTTCTTTTGATCATCTTTCCAGGTATCTTCTATAATTTTGTGACTTAATTTGTAGACTTGAGAGATAAATTTTCACTCCAAAATTACAAAAATTCTTGGCACATAGTTGATAATTTTTTGTGTGTTTGCTATTTTTCCTACTTTTTTTGGTTGTATTGTATTGTCGTGCACCTTATGTAAGTGTTCCTCAAGGTCCCAGGCAACTCCACGCCCCTTTTCAGTTTACTGATTTGCACAGGCAAGGAGGGATCACAACTTGTTCGATACAATGTCTTAGTGATTCCCGTGAATGAAACTCTCAATTTTGGTGTTGCTATGGCACTCTAGAGAGTTTCTAATACACCTTAAGTGTCCTAGCTCTCCTAATGGTTCAAACCATGCCAATTTGGTCCAAGGCCAGTCCCCCCAGGTTTAGTTTTATTAGTCTTTAAATATTTATATGACTATTCCAAAAAAATAATTCTATGACTAAAAAATTACAGCGTGTCATTTAATTTACACCAATGTTTCCTTAAAAATATTAAAAGAAACATTTTGTATTGACCCCTCCAAGCTACCCCCGAGTTTACACACAACAGCTGTGCTTTCTAGCTAGGAATGGATTTGAGATAATAGCTTTGGCACTCACGCCTTATGGTGATCCAAGTGTGAAGCTAATAGTCAAGAAGAGGTTGTCATTGGTTGCATGCAAAAAAAGCTTAGATAGAAATCATCTTAAAATACTTAGATCACGCTTAGGTCTGTACACTACAAAAAAGTTGACCTTTTGTGGCACCAAATTTTGCCACAAAACGTCTAAAATTTGCCACAATATCAATTTGTAGCAATTCCAAGATTTGCCACAAGGTTGCCACAAATACCCCGTTACAAAAGCTATTTGTGGCAAATTTAAATTTGCCACAAAGATCATAGATTTTGTGGCAAATATCTATTTGCCACAAATGAGACTTTGCCACAAAAGCTAATGTTTAGTAACAAATTTGAGTTGCCACAAATGATACTTTGCTACAAAAACTAATGTTTAGTAGCAAATTTATGTTGGCACAAATCGCACTTTGCTACAAAAGGTTATGTTTAGCAACAAATTTTAGTTGCTACAATATAATACGGAGTAATAGTTATTGCCAAATAAAGATGCTACAAGTGAAAATTTAAGTTTGCTACAAATTTTTTTTTATGAAAACTAAAATTTATTAAAAAGAATAAAAAATACATTAGCAGGCTGTGTACTGCCCAGGCATGCTACAATCCAAAATTGAAAACAAACTAAACACACAGGGAATGTAACTCTATATTCTAAATGTTGAAATTAAAAAGACTAAAGTCTAAATCTCCAAGGGAGTGCAGCACATGTCCCAAATGCCAAAATGCTAGTTTCCAGAGTATATTGTTTGTTTGACTGTGCTTATACAATCCCTCCCACCTGACTCCAACATCGGAGAGTCTATTTTTCCCTCTCGTGGCATCAAAGCAAATCAGAATCCAATAAACTCCTCGTGTCCAAGGCACTGTAACTGAACGCACCTAGGTTACTGCACTCTTACGCATCCTTCAAAGAAGCATGTTCCAAAATTAACAGTAGCCATACTCAAAATCAAAACATGCAGACCACAATTTGAAAGCCAAAACCAGGGTTACATATTAGTGGCTCAAAACCATAAAGCACAATTTATAACCTGTAAAATAAGAAATAAGGATGATAACCAGAGATTGTAACAAAAATTGAGATCACTATTTAGTAGAAGTAATAACCATAGCCCAAGACCAAATGATTATGTAGCCATTTGAAAGAATCAAATGATTTGGGACCTCCAGCCAATGTGGAAAAGAATCATATTTGAGAAGATGATATGGAAAAGGATTTTCACCTTGTTTCATTTCGGTCACTGCCCTTCTCCCCTGCCTCACTCTTTTTCTCTTCATATGAAGATAAAAGGATCTCATTAGAAGTAATAATAAAATACTCACAACATTATCAATTCCTAGAGTAATAAAATGCACAGAAGGCCTTTCTAGAGTAATAAATGATCTAATCACTTCCAAATATCTCAAGGGGTTTGCAGCTGGTAAGATGAAGACAACATCTCACCTACACTATGATGGTGATCTTATTATTTTTACAAATGGATGAGAGGAACCTGATTAGACTCAAAGGAACCCTATCTAGATATATATGTAAGCTTCAGGCCAGTCTGAAAATTACTCCAAAAGCAAAATTATTGTGGGCAAACACACCAAAAAGCAAATCATTGAAGCCTAGGGAAAAGGAGGGATCAAAATTACTAAGGATTCTTTCAAGTATCTGGGATCCATTGTGGTTAAGGGAAAGATGAAAGAGTCTCATTGCTCCCACCTAATAAAGCATTTTCAAACACTGATCAGCCAATGGTATAAAAAAAACTAAACTAAATGGGAAGGAAGATTCTGATCAGACATGTTTTCTCTCGTATTATTCTGATCAGACAGTGATATGGTATCGTATCGGGATAGCGAAGGATTTCGAGCTCCAAGAACAAAACAGGCAAGAAAGAAAGAGATTAAGGTTTAGGAGAAAGTATTTTCTTTATTCATTGATTGATAAAACTATGGTGATGGATACATTTATAGGCTCCAACTCTAGAGAATCTCAATAATAAATGGTAACTAAATAATTAATAATCCTAATTATAAAAGGTAACTAAATAAACTAGGAAACTAATTAATCACCTAACAAATATAATATTTCCTAATAATAGTTAACTAACTATAAATAATTCCTTACCATAATAATAATAATAATAATAATAATAATAATAATAATAATAATAATAATAATAATAGTCCCATAACACTCTCCCCGCCTCGAAAACCAACTTGTCCTCAAGTTGAAAATCTGGAAAAAACGAGGGATCATGCGTTGTGAACGGAAATCCTCCTGGGTCAAAGACCTTTATGAATGAAGCATCAAAAGAATCGACCAAGCTCAAAGAATTCACAATTCCAAACAAACAACTCCAGAGAACCAATACGAAAAAAATCCTGCCAGCATGCGTGACATCCCCAGAATCATAAAGGACAACAACGTCACTTTCTGACATCCCAAATGTTTCGGTGCATCCACAAAAATGACACCATCACTTGAATATTTTGCTTGGACTGTGTGGTCTTGTTGATCGTCACCAGAAACATCAAGAACACCATCAGCAATGGTAATAGGAACAACATCTATGGGATCAATAATAAGATCATCATCGGGAACACCAACAGGATCAATAAAAATTTCCTTTGCAAATTCCTGGTCCTGCAAAGCTGTGTTCTGCACAGGTACTATAGGGGCCGAATTGCGTGGAGTGCCGATGAGTTTCCTTATAGAGTGCATCATGGTTGTTTTGAAAATGTATAACTCTATAGGAATCAGGCTCGGCATAATTGGGGGACCACGAACTAAATTTTGTATTGAACAAGAGGCCTCTATGGCAAACGCATATACCCCGGAATCATATTTTGGTTGACCTTCAATATGACGGAATGCCTGAAGTTTCTTTATAATTTCATCCACGAAGTCTTCAACTGCACACACTCCTTCATAAAATTCAATTTGTCCCCGTAGAACTTTCTCGAGTAAACCAAGAACTTTGTCCAACAGTGAGTCCATTGCCAAAATAAACACCACCACAAAAATATCACCAAAAAAAAACATACCTCAAGCAGGCGATGAATTTGAATCAAATTGTTTAGATGGTGCAATTGAGGTAGAATTTCTCTTTTGCTTTGTCCCGAATTATTCTCCACCAAGTTATATGGTCCACCAAGTTATATGGGCTGCCTTTGATGTGCGGCCTATGGTGGCGGCAACACGGTGGTCTCCTTCGATATACCACAAGCACCAAAAGTGTAGAATTCTTGTGATAGAAACAAAATTGTAGCACCTCGATCTTCAATTGATTTCAAGAATTGATATGGCGGCGGCGAAGCAAGTCTGGTCGATTGAAACTTTTTTTGTTTGGTTGTTTTTGTTGTTGAAATTTTTGGCGAGTTCAAGAATGAAAGCAACAATTGATACGGAATCGTATCGGGATAGCGAAGGATTTCGAGCACCTTCGAGCTCCAAGAACAAAAGAGGCAAGAAAAAGAGATTAAGGTTTAGGAGAAAGTATTTTCTTTATTCATTGATTGATAAAACTATGGTGATGGATACATTTATAGGCTCCAACTCTAGAGAATCTCAATAATAAATGGTAACTAAATAATTAATAATTCTAATTATAAAAGGTAACTAAATAAACTAGGAAACTAATTAATCACCTAACAAATATAATATTTCCTAATAATAGTTAACTAACTATAAATAATTCCTTACCATAATAATAATAATAATAATAATAATAATAGTCCCATAACAGACAGGTTTTCTGTCCAACAAATCCTTAAATCAGTAATTACTTCACTAAACTCATTAATGTCTAATTTATTCTGGGGCAGAAATGAGGAGAAAAACATATACCACTGAAGGAACGGGATGCACTCTGTTGTCCAATAGAAGAAGCTGCAGCCTCCATCAAACTTTGGTGGAAGATAAAAAAGACAATGGGATGTGGGCAGAATATATGAGAAAGAGATAATATAGACAAGGAGACTTCAAACCTAATGTCTATTATTCATGTACATGGAAAAGAACATGCAAGGCTAATTACTTGGCAGACCAAACAGAGAAGATTGAGTTCTCCTTCAAATCGGATGGCCCTCAACAAAGAGACGGCATATGTAATTACACCTGATGATGTGGTGGCTCACATCCTGAACTACCAACCTCAAGAGATATATCAAGTTGATAGTTCACGACCTAATGATATGGAGCATTTGAAAAACCCACAACAAGATTATTTATGAGGACATCAGATTCAACCAAAAAAGACTTATCTCTAAAATCAATAGCCTCATTGCCTCCTTCGGTTGAATCAACAGAAGAGGTTTTGATTGGCCACTAAATGATATCCCTTTCACTTTTAATACTGCTTGTTTTGCTCATTCACTTCTTGGAAATTCTCGCTAAATACTATAGCCTTTTAATATTGGATGTAACTTCCTCTATTTTCTTTAATAAAAATCATTTTTCATTTAGAAAAAAAATCCCACAATTCAAAATGCCATAACGATAGCCAAATATTATGTTAGGAAATGTACTAAAAGCGGCATATATACTTGTGCATTCAAACTTAAACTCAAAACTCATTAGATAATATCGTAAAAAAATTACTTAAATCAAATAATAGCCATTTTGAATATTAAGTGTTGCCCATGTGAGTCATTTTACACATTACGAGTCAGCTTGGATAGTGAGATTTCATATATTTAGGTACGAAAATCTACCTTCGCCATGCCACTGAACAACTGATCACTAGCAACATTAAACAATAAGAATGATCTACAAGCACAGTGAGACACATGAGGGCAAGATGATCCTAAATTCCTAAATTTCCCACTAGTTTGATTAGTATAATTCTCAGAAGAAACTAATTCACCAGCTCAAGTTGTAGAGTTATATAACAAATTTGATATCTTTATTTGATACTCACACTATTCAAAACTGACAAACATGTAAATTCTTAAAATCCAAAAAAACACAACTTCATAAATCTTTACACATTATAAAAAAAAGGTGTAAAATCGCAAGATTGAAAATAAAAATAGAATCTATAATCAAGTAAATATTTACTTAAATATTGAATGACATTATGAAAAAAAATAAATTATATGATTTTAAAAATAAAAGAAAAAATTAGAATGTTTTTTAATAATAAAGATATATACCTAGTTCGCGCTAGAGGAGATGGGAGATTTGAAGGATCTGGATGCTTTAATGTGGAGTTGGAGGAGACGAAGAACTGGCCTGATTGGCGTCGTCCGAAGACCTAAGTCCGATTGATTGTCGGTTTTAGAGAAAGAGAAGAGAACAGCGAAAAGAGATGGAGAACGGCGGTTCTAGAGATAGAAACGATGTGTAAAAAATTATTCCCTATAAAATAATCCCCTTTTTAATAATTTTACACCTAGTTATATTGATATAGTAGCAATTTATAGAATTTGCCATAAGCCTATTATTTTGTGGCAAAATTCTAATTGCCACAAATATTTAAAGACTAATTGTATATAGTGGCAAATACTAATATTGCTACTAAAAGTTAGCCACAAAAATTAAAATCAATTTTTTTGTAGTGGTATATGCCTCTCCTTCCTTAATCATGCAGATGCTCTAAGAGGTCTTTCATCACAAGCTTGAAACATCGATCTTAGAGCATGAGACTTGAGGTGGTGAGTATTTTGTTGGCCTTATTGCACATTGTGAGGTGGGAGGAGTTCATGAAAGAGCAAAGTGTGATTAAGAAGTTTACTTAGTTACTCACAAGGAGTGTTCAACATGAAGATCTTGATAATGAGATGTAGGTATGTACAACTCTATTTATAACCTAAAGGAGTGGCATTGTATCTACTCTTGCTTTCTTGATGAATTACACTCTTTTCGATTTTCAATTACTCCTCATTTTTATAATAAAACTTTGGTGTTTTTATGCAAAAAGGGGGAGAATAAGTTCAAAAGAACTTGAGTATTTGTTTTTGGTCAAAAAATTGCAAATGGGGAGATTGTTAGTTTCATTTGTTTTCATCCTTCAATAGTGTGTTAGTTTAGTTTTTTCACTATGGTAAACATTATTTTTTGACAAATGAATAGATCTTAAATGTTGTTGTTTAGTCATTTATGTTAGCATACAACTGTTGCATCACTTGATCCATCATCATATCGTGAAGGAATCCTACTCATCGATCGACGCAGTCTTGCTATTTCAAAAATTCCATATGGCTTATATTTTTATGGAGTGCAACATATTCTAAAGAGTTGTCCTACGGTTTTTAGAAATTCTATATCTCATTTGCAAGATGACTTGTTGCCCAAGAAGACTTAATTACTGCACAAGAAGTTTCTTAAATGGACTCTATTAGGGTTTTGTTATTCTGTATATAAGATGCGCCTAGACTCACAGAAAAGGAGAGAGTTTATCATACAAAAGGAGATCACACCATTCGTCCATATTTTTGTGTAATGTTTTGAAGTCTGGTTTCATCACAGAAATCTTGAAGCTAAGGTGTTGGACAAACTGATTCACGGCGTGTGACATTCATGTTCGTCATATGGTCTAGAAGTTGAATATCTTGTAGATCTAGAGAAGGGATGCAAGCACGTCCTTATAAAAGATTTTGAAGAAGCCGTAACATGCCTTTGAAGAGGACTCAAATAGTGTTTGTGGCAGGTTTGAAACGGCCGTTGCAAAGGGAGGTTAACCTCCGCAGTCCCTCCTCCCTACCGGCTGCCTTCGCCCTTGCTCGGGAACTTTCAGCTTGCCACTCTGAGGCAGCTTTGGTCTACACCCAAGGGACACGCCGCGCCTGGACTCCTCAACCTCCATCCAATTCAGCTGCGTCCAGCCCCGGTCTTCTCCCCACTCCTCGCCCGACACCGGCTGGCCCCAAAACTCCCGGCCCTCCTGCCACTGCGGGTTTACCCGTTGTTCGTCTGACCGATGGGGTCAAGGCGGAACGCAACAAGAAAGGATTATGCTGGTATTGCGATGAAAAGTACACCCCGGCACACAACTGCAGACGTCGTTTTCTTCTCCTAATGGGCCCCGATGATGAGGATTCAGAGCCGGAACCTCCCCCCGCGGCAGACCTGGTGGACGACGCGCCGATCATTCTCGGTGATATTTCAACTATGCATTCTTTGGCCGGCAGCCCTAGCCCGCGGGCCTTAAAAGTTGCTGGGTCTGTTAACTCGGCGGTGGTCCAGGTCTTGTTAGACAGCGGCAGTACTCATAATTTTATCCACCCTACCGTTGCGAAACGTTTGGCTTTGGTTCTACATCCGGTTACACCGTTTCGGGTCTATGTTGGGGATGGTGACTCCTTGCGCTGTTCGTACTCGTGCCCGGGGACTCCTCTTCGGTTACAAGGCCACCTCTTTGATGTCGACTTATATTTGTTGGAAATTCATGGGCCGGACATTGTGTTGGGAGTACAGTGGCTTCAAACCTTAGGGAAGGTTTCACATGACTACGCCACAATGACAATGGAATTTGTGTGGAAAGGGGAAACTATTATCTTACGAGGTGACACGGTTGAGCCTCGCCCGATTTCCTACGGTCGGCTGTGCTCTTTGGCACGGGATGCAGTATCTTGTGATCTCTACGAACTCACCACGGCATCCTTGGATTCCACAGTGACGGAGGACGGCCCAGCACTGCCGACTGACTTGCCACCGGCGGCCCGCTCCCTTCTCCAGACCCATGCCAGGCTCTTCGGCCTCCCTTCGGGTCTGCCACCAGCAAGGGTGTGGGACCATTGCATACATTTAGTCCCGGGGGCAAAGCCAATCAACGTTCGGCCATACAGGTACCCCTATTTTCAGAAGACGGAAATAGAAAGACAGATTCAAGAGATGCTCGCGCAAGGAACGATACGGCCGAGCCACAGCCCCTTTTCCTCACCGGTGCTTTTGGTTCGCAAAAAAGACGGCACGTTCCGGTTTTGCATCGACTATCGAGCTCTGAATGCAGCCACTATCCCGGATCACTTTCCCATCCCGACCACAGATGAATTGTTCGACGAGTTGGGTGAGGCACGTTACTTCACAAAATTAGATCTCCGCTCCGGATATCACCAAATTCGGATGCATGACGCGGACATTTTCAAGACAGCCTTCCAGACACATGAAGGCCATTATGAGTTCTTGGTTATGCTCTTCGGCTTGGCGAATGCGCCGTCCACGTTCCAAGCAGCTATGAATAATATATTCCGGCCGCACTTGCGCCAATTTGTTATCGTCTTCTTTGACGACATTCTGGTTTATAGTCCTACTTTGGACTCTCATGTGAATCACCTGTCTGCGGTCCTCACCGTCCTCCAGGCCGAGTCCTTCTTCTTAAAGCTCAGCAAGTGCACTTTCTGTCAGACCAAGTTCGGCTACTTAGGCCACATCATCACTGCCGGGACGCTACTGCCAGACATGGAAAAGATCAACGCCATGGTGGCCTGGCCGACACCATCCAACCTCAAGAAGCTCCGTGGTTTTTTGGGCCTCACCGGTTACTATCGTCGCTTTATTGTCGGTTATGCCGCCATTGCCGCCCCTTTAACTGAACTCTTGAAGAAGGATAATTTTTGTTGGTCTTTCGCTGCGGAGGATAGCTTCCAACGCCTCAAAATAGCAATGACATCGGCACCGGTCCTCCGACTACCCAATTTCACCCTCACCTTTTACATTGAGACCGACGCGTCAGACTCGGGCGTAGGGGCAGTGTTGATGTAGCAAGGCCATCCCTTGGCTTTTTCAGCCGAAAGTTGGGTCCCCGTCGTCGAGCCGCTTCCACCTATCACAAGGAGCTATATGCAATAGTGGAGGCCGTTCAAAAGTGGCGGCAATACCTCCTTGGTCGTGAATTCGTGATCCGCAGTGACCAACGCAGCTTGAAGGAGCTCCTGTCCCAAGTAATTCAGACACCGGACCAGCAGTTTTATATCCGGAAGTTGATGGGGTACACATTTCGGATTGAGTACAAGAGCGGGTCCTCAAATAAAGCGGCCGACGCGCTGTCCAGACGCAAAGAGGAAGGAGATGCCGCGGGTGTTTTTGCAGCGTACGCACGTCCAATTCCATCCATCTTGACAGACATTAAGCGCGAGAATGAAAGTACCCCGGAGATACAAGCCATTCACGCCGGGAAAGCCTCACCAGATTACACCGTGCAGGATGGGGTTCTGTACTACAAACGGCGGCTGTACATAGGGGCTGCTTCTCCTCTCCGGGCACAATTTCTACTTGAATTCCACAGCACGCCTCTCTCCGGTCACCAAGGCGTGGAGCGCACCTTCCGAAGATTGGCCGACGTCTTTTACTGGTGCAACATGCGACGGGACGTTCGTCACTTTGTAGCCGCATGCACCGTCTGTCAAGTCACCAAGTACTCCACACAGAAGCCTGGAGGTCTGCTCCAGCCGCTGCCCGTGCTGGATCGGGTTTGGGAGTCCGCATCCATGGACTTTATTACGGGATTACCCCCGTCTCGCGGCCTCACAGTAATCATGGTGGTCGTCGATCGGCTGTCCAAATACGCACATTTTGGTGCTCTGAGTCCCGGGTATGATGCCCCTAAGGTCGCATAGCTATTTCTTGACGTGGTCGTCAAACACCACGGGTTCCCGGCTGACCTAATCTCCGACCGCGACTCAGTTTTCATGAGTATTTTTTGGAGGGAGCTGATGCGGTTGAGCGGGACAACATTGAAATTTAGCACGGCATATCATCCCCAGACAGATGGGCAGACGGAGGTCACCAACCGCGGCTTGGAACAGTATCTCCGGGCCTTTGCACATGAACGCCAGCAGCGTTGGTCATGGTTTCTCGCTTGGGCAGAGCTGGCGCTGAATTGTTCCCACCATGAAGCCCTGGGCATGTCCCCTTTCCAAGCTCTCTATGGCCGCCCTCCGCCGTCCCTTTTCCCGACCTTGTCTATCCGTGCGCGGACCCCCACAATTGAGGAATTGTTGCGGGACAGGGCTGCCATGCTGGCAGAATTGAAGCTACAGTTGAAGAAAGTGCAACAGCGGATGCGGGACCAGGCGAACCAGCACCGCCGGGACGTTTCCTTTGCCGTAGGGGATTACGTCCTTCTCAAACTCCAGCCGTACCGGCAGCACTCGGTGGCACGGCCAGTGTCCCTCAAACTGGCCCGACGGTATTACGGTCCGTTTGAGGTTATGGAGCGTATCGGGGAGGTTGCCTATCACTTGCGGCCGCTAGAGGGGTGTCTCATTCACGACGTCTTCCACGTGTCGCTGCTGAAGCCATTTCGTCAGGAGGGGGAAGGGTTGCCGCACCAGTCCCTCCCGCTGGAATTTTTGGGTGGTCTTCCAGTCTCTCGGCCAGAGGCAGTTTTGGCGCAGCGGACAGTGCTAGTTGACGGGTCTCCGCAAGATCAATGGCTCATTCGTTGGACGGATGGCTCGCATGGGGACAATACATGGGAACCCGTGGTGGAGCTTCAACGACACTTTCCGAATCTACGTCTTGAGGACAAGCCGGCTCTTAACCCCGGGGGAATTAATACGGACACGAAACCTAGGGTGAACGACGAGGACACAATCGCGACAAGACGTTCAAAGAGGCACGTGGGACCGCCACGTAGATATCGAGATTATGTTTAAGTATTTTAATTATTCATTAAGTATTTTCATTATTCATTATGTATTTAGATTTTCTTTAGGTGGACGAATTATAAGTCCTTCGAGGGTTTCTTTTCGGTTCTTTACCTCGATGCTTTTCTTGAACCGACAGGATAGATAACTAGTTTAACTAGGATTGGGGAACTCATCTATTTAAGGAGGTGGTTAACTCTCCTTAATTATCATAATACAAGAATTACATCTTCCCCCTACTTCTTCTCTTCTCTATCGCCCCAATTTCCCTGCGCTACGGCGCCTTCTCTTCCTTCCCTCATCATAAAGCTGCCATCCCCAGGTATACGTGAAAAGCGAATTATAAGTCCCTTCGAGGGTTTCTTTTCGGTTCTTTACCTCGATACTTTTCTTGAACCGAGAGGATAGATAACTAGTTAATTAACTAGGATTGGGGAACTCATCTATTTAAGGAGGTGGTTAACTCTCCTTAATTATCATAATACAAGAATTACATCTTTCCCCTACTTCTTCTCTTCTCTCTCGCCCCAATTTCCCTGCGTTACGGCGCCTTCTCTTCCTTCCCTCATCATAAAGCTGCCATCCCCAGGTATACGTGAAAAGTAGCGTGTATCAGTTAGAGGGTACACGTAGGGTAGATTTTTTTCATAACATAAAGAAGAGGCATTATATTGTTTGTGATTGGTGTAATCTATTACGTTGGTTTAGTGAAAGATTGTTGCTCAGATGTGGGTCTGACAGAGTAGGAGAGTTAGTTTGCTCCAAACTGCGTAAACATATAACTGTGTTGTTTACTGCTTTCTTTAATTCTGCGGTGGCCCAAAAAATGTTATAGCTTCCTGCAAGTCATGTCTCACATTAACTTGCGTTGTAGCATCTTTGTGCCACACCTGCACATTTTGTATGTGTTGTGAGATCTACAGATAAGTTTGGATTGTTAAACAAAAGGAGTTTCATATTTAACAATTGTTAAACAATTAGTACCTCCATCCCAAACTATTTCTGCATTTTTGACTTTTTATAGTCAAAAATTATAAATGCTGACTATTAATTAAATACGAGTAAAATTACTTTATATATTCACACAAGAATGATTTTATTAGATTTATCTTGTTAAATACTCCCTCCGTCCGGAAATGTTCTTCCCGTGTTGACTTGGCACGCTTATTAAGGAATAGTAAAAAAATGCAAAATTTTCAAAAATGCACATACTATAAACTTTTAAATCTCCTTTTATTATTAAAAAAGTATTAAAAAAGTAGATTTGTGATAAAATAGAAGGGTATTATTGATATTTAGCCTTAAAAAGCATACTAAAAAGGAAATGAGAAGATTATTTCCGGACGGACCAAAAAGGAAAATGGGAAGAATATTTCCGGACGGAGGGAGTATGTTTTTATTTACTTCATCTGTCCCTGAAATCTCTTCCTATTTTGACTTTTATGGTCAAAGAGTGTTTATGGTCAAAGAGTGACACTCTTTGACCATAAACAAAGCATAATATATATTAAAACCATATATCAAAATGAACCCAATTATATTAGATTTATATTTTAATTCAATATACAATTTTCTTACAGGTTGTAGTCAAAGAGTCTCACTATCTGACAAAAAAAGTTAAAACAGGAAAAGTGTTTAGGGGCAGAGGATCAGAGTAATTAATACAATATGTAATTTTTATTTAATTATAGGTCAAATATTGATCATCAATAAGTGAAAAAAAACAAAACAGAACAAATAATTTAGGACAGAACTAATATTCGTAGGGACACAAGTGTAGGTGAGATACAATGAGAAGGGAATCAGAAAATTACTCGCAGGTAACGCGAGTTTTGTTGAAATAACTCTCAGGTCCCTCTATTTTCAAAAAGGCAGCAGAGGTCCTTACATTTTGTTGTAATGACTGAGAGGGGACATTTCATCCAATACATCATTCGTAAGTGTTAATAAATGTATTTTTTTCCTATTTTTTGAATACCGTTTTTCCTATTTTGCCATTACCTTGTTATTTCTTTTTTTAGAATTTTTTTATTTCATTTGTTTTAATATAATATAAACAATTTTGAATTTTTATATGATTTTATAGGAGAAATTTTAAAATAACATTTTAAAAAATAGTAACAAAATGAAAGAAAAACAAAGAAATAAAAAAAGGAGCGACCTAAGATTTATTATCTTAAAACATTTAGAAAAGATTAGGAAAAAATACATTTATTAACGTTTATAGATGAAATATTGGATGAAATGTCCCCTTCTAGTTATTACAACAAAATGTAAGGACCTCTGCTGCCTTTTTGAAAATAAAGGGACCTGAGTGTTATTTCAACAAAACTAGCGTCACCCATGAGTAATTTTCTAGAAGGGAATACACAATACACAAACAAAAATTTAATTTGTAGTGATGAAAAATAAAATCAACATATATTTATTAGACACTTGGGCAATATACCAGCCCTTTACACATTAAAGGAAACATATAGAACAACGTAACTAATACTGAGCTACATACCTCGTACTAAGTCTAATAATTTCATCTATTTCACGCATGCATGATAGAACATACAAGCCATAGTTGATTATTAATTAATTAATTAAGATATAGCGAACACAATAAAATAATACATGCATGCATGGTAGCTAGAACTAATAATTTAATTTTAATTCAAAATAACATAATGAATATGCATCGCAATAGCCATTTTGTTAAACTGAATCAAGCTTTTGAGCCGATGGTGGCAGGCTGAACGGGGTGGCCTACGCCGGGACTGTGGCCAGGATTGTCGCCGTTAACATAGCCGTAGGCAGTGGAGCCGCCTTCATTATTATTGCCGTTGCTGGACGCCACGTTGTATGGCAGCTGATGAAAGTGATGAGGTTTCATCAGTGGTCTTTCTTGGCTCACATGAATCCCAAAGGAGAAAAGCAGTGCCAGAAACACAGCACAAGTGAGAATCATAGACTTGAACGTCGCCATTTATATTAGTATATTGTTTGCAAGAACTTATAAATATGATGGGAAGTATTTGGGTGTATTAGTAACTCAGCAGTGTGTTTGTGAGTTATTCGGTGTTGTTGAAGTTTAGCCGTAGTTCGATATATATATAGGTCGGCCAGGCAAGGGGTGAGGGGTTGAGCCTCATAGGCGGCTCAGACTTGGCTCTATATTGTTAAATGTTTATTATTCTATTTACTTAATATTTTTAAATTTAATACTTCCTCCGTCTCCCATAGATCTTTTCATTAACTTTTTTTATTTGTCCATCATAAATCTTCTCATTGCCTTTTTTAACAATTAAAATACCACAACTACCCCCACTTTATTTATTACACCTCACCTACCTCATTTAATACACTCCACCCATTTTCATTAAGGGTATTATGGTAAACTTTCACCTTTTTTCAACTCTTCTTTAAAACCACAAAAAGTCAAAATGAGAAGATCTTAAGGGGACGGAGGGAGTATAAATTTATATTTTAATATTTAAATTGTTATAAAAGTGATCATTAAAAATCAAATTTAGTACTAATTTTAAATCAAAAGTACTCAAAAAAATAAAATAGGGCCCAACACGTGAATTTTTCACAGGGCCAATCACATTTCTTTCACAATTCCGGGCCGGTCCCGTCGAGCCTTACTTAGCTCTCTATTGCTATTCTTTTATGTGGGTTCTGTATTTTACGTGTCTTCGGTACTTAACTTGTGGTGCCCTTACTTCGAGATGGGGTATCTAAGAAACTCTCTCTATTTTCAAGTAGGGGGTAAGGTTGTTTTACACACATGCATCTCCCTAAGGTCCAGACCCTACTCCAACCTTGTAGGATTCATTTGGGCTATTGTAATTGATGAGGTGATGTCTATGGCTCCAAGGCGGTGCTTTGCGTACAATCTCAAAGACACCTTGGGGGCGGATCCAAGAATTACAAGTACAAAGCCAAGACCACCTATCCTGATTTTGCTTTTTTATTACAAAATAGCAAAGTGAAATTACAAAAAAAAGTGATTTCAAATTAGTGAAGCATTCAAACAATTAATGAAAAATGTTGAAAATACTTTCTAGAATTTGACTTTCTCTTAATAAATTTTATATTCAAATTATATTGGTATGATTTTAAATGCTTAATTTTTACCCATAGCATTTTTTATTGAAAAAGTATATATTTGATTTTCTACTTAAAATTTATTTTTATTGGAGCATCCCATTTCACTTCTTTAGATGGAGGAATAACTGATTTTCATAAGTTAGAGTTCTATTAAGATAAACTTTTAACTCATGAGGGCCATGGCCGGTGAGGCGTAGCTCATCAGTTGGCATAGTTGTGCTACAAAAGAGAGATTCTTAGTTCGAAGCCTTCTGACTACGACGAGGTACAACCATGCAAAGCATGTGACCTTTGCAAGTAACGAACCCCAAGAACTCTAAAATGCATTTTGGGGATTTGTTTACTTTAAAATCTGGATCGGAGAATTGTTTAGTATGAAGGTGATTGAAGGCATTAGTCCGAAAAGAAAGGGGCACGTACAATGCTTTTTAATGATAGAATTTAGGATGGTGAAAAAGTTACTGGATTGGGCAATAAATATTTGGATAGAATCACCCTAAAATTTTGAATTCAATTGATTAATTAGTTCAATTTAAAAACTTATATGTCGATCACTTCTCTTCAATTTCCAAATTGGATACTTTAACACTCCCCCTAACCCCCTCAAGTGGACAATGCAACTAGATTATTTTGAATCTGGTTGACTAGGATCTCTAGATGAACAATCAGATTATATGGGTTTTATGTCGTTGTTCAAACCGACAAATTGGCTAGGGACTAATAGGCCACTAGCAATGAACTTCCAGATGAACACCTTAACAAATGAGGACTAAAAATGGTTTTCATACCATAATAGAATTTAAAGTGTGGAAAGACTTACTAGATTGGGCTATCAATTTAAGAGTTTATATACCGATTTTTTCTTTTCAATTCCTAATGTGTAATGTTTTAACATCATTTTAAAATGGACACTTTAATTTTTTGGGTATCTAATTCCAAATGCTAATAATATACCAAAACAACAGAACATAGATTATCATCAGTAAAAAAAACTCTTCTTTAATTTTATCCCGGGAAGCTATAAATTACGGAGTAAAATATCTCCAGCTAGCACAATAAAAATAACCACCTACCTAAAGAAAATAATATAAATAAAACAAAAATTGTTTTGGCTCTGCACCAAATCAACGGTCGACGTTGGGTAATGGTGATGCAGGTGATCGAGTATAGTGCAAAGCGCACATGCAGAAAGTATAGTACTGCGGGCTCTAATGGGGAGACGAACGTACGATGGAAACAGTCTGGTGGTAGTGCTAGCTATACGTACGTACTTTGTTTTAAAAATCAGTGTGTATAGTGTTGCATATCCCCCGAAGATTCCCATTTCCCAGAGAATGAATCTTTCCCTTTTCCACTGTAAATACATAACAGATTCTCCATTAACGGTGAAACATTTAAAAAGGCCAGCTAGCCTGCAGGTTGGCTCCTGGCATTGTGGAACTCAGAACCGACCATTCACTTTCAATCCCATGTTTGTTAGTGTTTTGGTGGACCTAATAGGCAGATACTACTTTTTGTTTGGGTTTTTAATTTCCTCTCTACGCATCCCAACTCCACTCTACAGTCATGCCGATTCTATTTATTTATTTATTTATTTATTTTGAAAGGCCTATTCTATTTAATTTGTCTCTAAATAATTGTTCTATTTTCTTTTTTCTTTTTCGGAGTCATCTAACTCCTTCCGTCTTCCTGAGATGTTTTGGTTTTGACTTTTTGTGATTTTTGAAGAGAGTTGAAAAAAAATGAAAATTTACTGAAATATCCTTAACAAAAATAGAGTAAATTTTCAAAATGGTCCTTTCAAATAAAATGTTTTATCAAATTAGTCCTCAATAAACAATAATTACTAATGCGGTCTTTTGTAATTGAGATATATTCCTTAAATAGTCCTCTGTCAAAAATGTCTATTAAATAAAAGTTAACTAGAGGATATTTTTGTATTTTCCGTCATCTAAACTATGAATACGTCATCAAAACGGTTCTTTCAAATTAAGTGGGTGACTATTAGAAAAATGGACTCACCCCGAGTAGGCTCATGAATTCCATTTTCGGAAAACATTTACTTAGAAGTTATCAGTTTGAAAAAATAATTAATTATAAAAAAACACTTCGAGAACATGCTTTAAGTCTGGATGATAGAAAATACCAAAATATCTTCAATTTGACTGATATTTGATCATTAACCATTTTCAACTAAGGACCATTTAGGGAATAAATCTAAATTATAAAGGACCACACAAGTAATTCTTACTTATTGAGGACTAATTTGGAAAAATACTTTATTAGAAATGACTGTTTTGTAAATTCACTTATGAAAATAAGTGGAGTATATTATATGAGATGAGTGAGGTGTAATAAATAATGTAAGCAAGAATAGTTGTAGTATTTAAATGTTAAAAAAGATAATGAGAAGATTTATGATGAACAAATGAAAATAGTTAATGAAAAGATGTATAGGAGATGGAGGAAGTATGTTTTTAAATTTTTAATTAAAACGTCATTGTTTTTCTCTCATGCATGAATTTCAATAAAACTGTCTTTTTTTCAAAGAAAAATTTGCTCTCTATATATAAAGAACTAAAAAGTTGTACATTGTCTTGAATAGAATCAAGTATATTTTATTTTCTTTTTGGTACATATTTTTGTATGATCTGTCATATATGCAATCATTATACGAATGACTCTACGAATGTAGTCATTAGCAACAAGTTGTGGATAATAACTCATTATTTGAATGATTATTGAATTGTGTGATAGGTTATTCTTTTATAATAAGTGGAATTTTTTAGTAGACATTTTAGTTGATTCTAAAAACAAACACCATATGTCATATTAATAAAATGACCTATAGACAAAGGACATTATTAATATCCATTTGTAGTCATTTTGGATGTTTGTCATTTTCTCGACTATTAACGAAACACTCGCATTTTCAAAGGTATGACGTTTTAGAAATTTTCATTACGTTTTAGAAATTTTCATTGTCAAATGTTAGAGTAAAAATGACAGATTCCATTTGGGGAAAAGTGATACTTCCTTCGTCCATAAATAAAGTTCTCGTTGTGCATTATGATCTTTGACTGAAGTTATTTTCAAATCATTTAAACGATAAATGGCATAGAATTTAAAAATAAAATTACATATTTAAAAACTACATGAAAAAATCTACAAAACTGAATGTGATGCCACTATATTATTTAATCAAATAGGACACAAGAATAGGTCAATAAAGTGAATTAAGTTTGACTCTGTGAATAGTAAACGAAAACTTTATTATCCGATGGAGGGAGTATATATTTAGTCTCATTTGCTAAATTACTCTTTTTCAAATCCTTCAAAAACAAATGGAAAGCTTAGTTTAAGAAATGATAGGGTCGTCCTATATATTTTAGAGAGCAATGCTAGGGTCTGGTGTACCCCATTTGTCCCCCACCCCGTTCTCCACCACTCATTTTTATTTAATTTTTATTTATTTAATTTTTTTTAAAAGTTTTTTCCCATTTATGTGGTGGATGAGGGAGTGGGGGATAAATGGGGTATACCTTTGGTGTACCCCTAGCAATTTCCTATTTTAGATCAACCGTCCATGTTCTCATGAATGTATTGCTTATGAGAGCACTCGGTATACCTGTAAAGCCGACCGGCGTTATGCCGGTTTTCACGCCCAGGGGGCGTTAAACACTGCCCCCTGCGGCTTCATCCCGGCGTGATGATCTCCGCGTCATTGTTTTGACGCAGCCTTCCCCTCCCCCTAACGGCTAATTTAGCCGTTGAAACCCAAAAAAAACAAAAATTTAATTATTATTTTTTTATAAATTTCAAACTCCCCCCCCCTCCCATTCTCACCTTCAATCTGTTTCACACATTCTTCAATTTCAAACTCCCCCCCTCTCTTTTGAACATGAATCCTTCCGGCTCCAGCTTCTTTCCCGACAATCTCGAGCCTCACGAGTCCGCAATGTGGTATTTCCAAGAATACGGGAATCATCCGCCGATGTTCGAGACGCAACAATCGGGGTATGTCGAGCGGGATTCGGTTCCGGAGACTCAACTGGGACCATCCGGCTCCAAAAAAAGTACACGGCGGAAAAACCACAAAGCAAAAGGCACGATGACCGATGCGGCACAGTCAATCCAAAAGTGGACGCCGGAGGAAGGGTGCCTATTGGCGTCGGCTTGGGTTGACGTCTCTGAGCATCCTATCGTTGGTAAAAATTATATGTTTTTTAATATATTTATGTTTTTATTTATATAAAATTATATTTAATCGTGTCATAAAAAAAATTTCGTGTTATACTTTTTTAAAGGTTCAGAGCAAACGAAGGATGCGATGTGGGATCGTATCGAGGAGAAGTTCTTCACGGCGATGAACAAGGACGGCTCCTACCGTACCCGGGACCAACTCACTTCCAAATGGAGCCACATCAACCGTAAAGTCCGAAAGTTTTTCGGAGTTTACGAGGAATGCGCCCGGTCCCGGAGGAGCGGGACGAACGATGCTGATGTTCTCCGGCTTGCCACTACCTGGTATCAAGATGACAGACACCAAGGCAAAGTGCCCATCGATCTTTGGATGATTTTGAGCCGTTCCCCGAAGTGGCAACAACTCAACAATCCCGATGGCGGATCATCAAAGAAAAGATCCTCCGTCGACCCCGAGGTTGAGGTCGACGATACTATCGGTTCGTCTGAACAAATGCCTCCCTTCAACGTTGCGGATTCCGATGACGAGGACCCCATTCCACGGTTGATTAGAAGAAAGAAGGCAAAATCCATTGCCTCGGGTTTTGGAGGGTCCGGCTCTGTTTCCGTTTCTTCTCGCGACGATATCGGTCGGGCAATGGTTGAACAACTTCGGGTGTTCAATCTTCGAGAAGAAGAAAGGATGAAGCGAAAGGACCAGGAGATGAAGCGAAAGGAGCAGGAGGACGAGATCAAAATCATGGAAACCGACCTTTCTACGTTATCGGGTTTCAAACGGATGATCTACGAGCAAAGACAAAGAGAGATCAAGGCGAAATATAATTTACCTTAGTTTTTTATCAATGTATCTTTTTTATTATTGTCATTTTTTTAATTTAATGAATGTAATTTTTTAAATTTTAAATTATTATCGTTTCAATTTTCTATAAATTTAATGAATGTATTTTTTTATTATTCGTGTTTCAATATAATTAAATAATAAATTAATTACATTTTATTAATTTAGTTTTAGAAGATGTATATTTAAAAATGTAAAAAATGGAGGTTTGAAGCCTCAGTTTGAAGCCCCGGGGCTTCAATCCCATTTCCAGTGAATCTTTGAGGTAATTTAAAGCTGACGTGGCAGAGAGAGAAATTTTGAAGCCCCGGTTTGAAGCCCCGGGGCTTCAAGAGTATTTCGAGTGCTCTGACGGTTAACCTTGTGCGAGTTTGGAGAGTTTTGGAATAAAATTTGGGTCGTTTACCAGTTTACACACACACGCACATTCTTATACTCTGTTAGTCTGTTTTTTAGATCTTTCTTTTTCCTTTTTAATAAAATATTTCCATTTTTGAAAAAAGAACCACTAATATATGTAAATAAAATTGTTACCGAGTACAATATACTTCAGTTCGCTCATTTTGTATTGATATAATATGTTATTTAAATTATTTGTCTATTTTTTATTTGATGCTAAAGATTTAATTGAAAAGTCAAATTATCAAAATAAATCTACCAAAAAGTCAAAATAAAAACTTTTTTCAAAAACAAAGAGAGTATTAACTGATACATGCATTGTTACTAATTCTCGTTCGATTACAACAGATAAGGAAGATGAATGACAACTGGAATATAATAGTAAATAAAATTCTGATTTTATACTTTATTGAGAATATTACAAAATAAACAAAACTAAAAATAAGTTTCTAGATTTCAAAGGGCCTTGCTAGCTGTACTATAACATTATGTACTGTACTGCAAGAATATTATGCACGGGCTAAAGCATCCACTAAGCCTAGGACAAGGATACTGCGAGCAGTGGCGAGGTCTCTAGAATAGCAGCGTGGAGAATATGGCTAGAACTAGAACATAAACGAGGACATTATGAGATGGGGTAGAATGCAGCAAGGTCATTGTGAACATAAACGTAAAAGAAAAACACCATGGAAAGGCAGCGGAGTTATCAGAGTTTTCCTTAAGGTAGTAGTATCTGCCTACTGTACTAGAAAACATGGGCACTCTTCTCCCATGAATAAACTTCTATCATGTGTGATGATTGTACGAACCAATCACACGCCAATGAATAAGAACAACGTCGCAGCGTTGCCGACCGGAAAAACTGAAGAAGAAGATCGTTTTAGAATTTCTGCTGCACCTTAATCAATTTTTTTGCTCCAAAAAGTATGGTAAAATGCACATGTACACTGTCACATTACCACAATGTCAACTCCTATTTAGAAAATAAATATGAAACTCATGTTTTGGTATTTTCTTTGTATTTTACTCCTATTTAATATGATTTCATGGCTAATTGTAATGGTTATGACCAATATTAACAATATTAACCCATCCAATTTTTATGCCTCATTTAAAATTTTGTCCTATTTAATGGCTAGTTAACTTCATAATAAAGTAGACAAATTTTAAACAGCACATAAAAAAACACAGAAGATTGGTTCAATAAAATTGATAAAGTTGCAATCCTTTTCATAACCTTCTACCAACGGGTTAACTCTTAGAATCATTTTCTCATTCACCTTCTACCATTTCTCGTATATAAATTATCAAAAATATTTATTTACAGGCTCACGCTGCGAAAAACGGTAAATATTGTCAACAAATTTATTCACCCCCTACAGAGTTGCACACATTGTCTAAAAATATAGTCTTATTTTTTTTTAACTTTTGTGTCACACTATCTGTCACATTCCAAAAAGATAAATGCTAGGGATGCACCAAAAGTGTACTAAAAAATTATGGTAGGGAAGACTGAGGAGTAATATTTTTTCATGGTGCGGGTTTCACACGTGCACTTTGAAAAGATTGGTAAATCCATAACGGAAACTCATATTTATACCCCAAGAATTTGTATCCTATTTTGTACACCGCAGGGATGCACCAACATTTTGTGTTGGTGTAATGCTAATTTTTGTTGACGCACCAACACTTTGTGTCAGTGTAAATTTTTGTTTACGCACCAACACTTTGTGTCAGTGTAAACAATCAAAATATTGGTACATACCTTTGGTGTACAAATGAAGTACAAATTTTGGGATACATGTAGCATGCTCAATCCATAACAGGTTTCACAATGATTTCAGGTGGGCCACCGCGCAGCCACTCTCAAGTACTCCATAATAAATTAAATAAGTACATTTCATAACTAGTACTTTATAAAATGAGATTTCTCTATTTAGTCTTCTATTGTCAAATATTACCCTTCTATTGTCAAATATTACTCCAGTAGTTCTTCTTTTATAGATATTTTTTTTATAAATAATTCTTTTTTTATCTTTTATCATGTTGGTTTTAATTTAAGAGCTAAAAATGTAATTTCACAATGGTAATATATGTTTCTTGTTATACACAATTCAAAGGTCGTTCCCTATGCAACGTTTGTGAATGACAATCACTTTTACTACAACTATAGTCTACAGATGTAGTCTTTCGTCAAAATCCTAGCCCACAATCATAGTCATTATTTTTGAGCTATCCATGTAGCCAATATCAAAATATGTCATTGGACATAAGATTGATTCCAAATTTTACTTTTAGCCTTTAAAACAACACCAACATAGTAAAAGATGAAAACAAAGAACATTTATGGAAAGGCACCCAGAAAAAAGGACTACAATACAAAAGTAATATTTAATAATAGAAGAATAAATATGAAAACCCCTCTTATAAAATACCAATTATAGAATTTATTCTAAAATAAAGTGTTTAGAAAATTTTTCTAGTAACACCAAAATTGTGTGATCTCAAAAAATGAAAATTGTCATTCTTCATCCCGTGAAACCAACTCTTAACACACTAGAAATGGTTTTAATTGATTCCTTAACTAGAATTAAGTAGAACACCAACTGGGCAGAAGAAACAGCGAATAGCTAGATTGTATCTGAGAAAGAGATGTTCTCCTGATCTTCATCATATCACACACGCTCTATGAATTGTGGGGTACAACAGCAAGTAGCCATCCATATCAAGGGCTAGAGGAGATTGTGGGGTCAGATGCAGATTCTGTTAGCAAGGGCATATATGGCGGGCAACGAGGTAACAAGATAGGGAAAGATTATATTTTTACCTCTACTAATTACGGAATATTATCTAGAAATTTACCTGAATAGTACTAATACATAATAATTTTCTCTAATAAAAATCAATCTAAATATAACTAAAATATAGAGAAAAGTACCAAAATAGGACTTTCATGATTTTTTCCCCAAAGTAGGACTTTGCACTGTGGTAATGTGACATTGTACATGTGGACATTACTTTTTTGGTAATGTACATGACAATGTATGGTGATGTAAGTCCTATTTCAGGAATAAAAACATGGAAATTCTGTTTTAGTATATTTTCAATGTTTTAGTCCTATTTTGGTCTTTCTCCCTTTCCTTAAATAACATTATATATTTTTATTTCTTAATGTAGCACTTTTAGTCATTATCTATTACTCATTATTCAAGTAAATATTCACCACTACTAGACATTAAAGATGGACACGGTACGGTTTCGGGACGGTTCTAGTACAGCCACCCTAGGTACCGTTACCGTCACTGGACCGGAAGGTACCGGTTCCGGTACCCGTACCGGTGGTTCCGGTACCGGCCGGTTCTGGAAATCCCCCCTTTTTTAAAAAAAAAATTACAAGTGTAAATGTGTAATTATTAAAGGAAATAAATCAAATAATGAAATAAAAGATCTAAAAATGTAGTTGTTGTTTAAATATTGAAAAATGAGTAATACTAATACACGAAAAACTACATTTAATATCCTGACGGTTCAAAAAAAGCGACGAGGTAAAGAACCGTAAAGAAACCCTCGAAGGAGCTTATATATCGCTCACCTAAAAAAACTAATTACATTAACATAAAAAAAGTTTATAACTTATTCCTCAGAACTAGGGCTTCCATCTGTGGTTGCATTCATGTAATGTTCAGAATTGAATTTGTACCCTGAGTCTTGAGCTCGACGTCTTGCCAAGAGCCAATCTCAATGACAAACAAGTGTTTCAAGAGATTCAGAGCTAAGACAACTTCGGTAGTCGGTTAGAATGTTGCCGCTAGAACTGAATTCTTGTTCCACGGCTACTAGAACAGATAAAACTTGTCTGGCTAGCATTCCGAGACATGGGAACATGTGTTCGTTCTGCTTCCACTATGCGAGGACGTCAAAGTCCACGTCGTCGTCGTCGTAATCGCATGGCATCTCTTGGTACATAGCAAGTTCGTTGTGCGAGCTTACAATTGTACCACCTGAACTCATCGAAGGCTAACCATGCTTACCTTTTTTGCCAAAAGCCCACCGACTATTCCTTTAAAACCTTTTTTGCTTTGGGGGCGGAGGAAGTGTTGTTTGTTCCGGTGCATTACTGTATATTCCTTGAAGTTCTTTAAATAAAGCCTCAAAAAGATCAATAGCATTATCTCTTTTTTTGTCCATTCTATTACATGGTTGTAGTAATAATTATTTTCATTCAAAAAACAAGTGTAACAATACTCAATTAGAATTTTAAAATTTTCAATCTTCAAGCAATAATCACAAATAATACCAATTTTATAAATATCGGAAATGTATAAATAATAAGCACACCATTTATCACTCATAGGAGAGACATAGGGGTACAACTCTGGATCAGCTAAACTTTCACTAAAATATGTTGCAATTGTAGGGAAACCAATGTCATGGGATTACCCGGGGGCGCTCCGGTGCCCCATTCGTAAAATTGACGGTTCCTACCCCTCCTAACCCCCTCGGTAAACCCCCCCACCCCATTCGTAAAATTGACGGTTCCTCCCTTGCTTATCTCATACCAGTCACCATTGGTCTCCCTGAGTCATTGAATTGGGGAGCAAAGCCCATCACATCCCAACACTTTTGTTCATCAAAATTGTACCAACAGTTAGCCGCATTCTTCATGGTACTAAGTTCTTTTTGACAATTTTCCAAACCAAACATCCTATTTAGTTCAGAACTAGTGATAACAACCTATTTTTGAAAAAACTTAGAAGTGATAACAAATTGTACACCATGGCGTTTAAGAACCATAACAGCATAGAATGCCTTAATATGATTAACTGAGACTTGGGATTCATTGATAGTAACAATATTGAGCAATCCCGAAGAACAAACTTTGGACAAAACTAGTGCAAAAAAAGCAATTTTTTCAAATTCATAAAGATCAACATACCGCGGAGGGATGATTTTCTGAGGAACAAGATGGTTGGTGAAATACTCCAAGGCTTTGTCATCTTCAAAGTAGATGTGGGGATTGAGAGGATACACGAACCTTTGATTTCCAGTAGCTTGAGGTTGAGTGTTTGAAGATTCCGGGAGAAATGCATTTGCCTTGGACCGATTTGATCTCTTCTATGTGTGGGTAGCCATTGTTATGCAATGAGAAGAAGAAGAGAAGGCCGTCACAGATTTGCCGGTGAGGGTCAGCTATGGTTGTGAGAGAGAAAAGATGTGAAATTGACCTGAAGACCAAAGAATTAAAATGCAGATTTGATCTAATTTATTCAAGTAGTTATGAAACTATTCGAATAGGTCGGGTCCAATAAAAGACTGAATCCCGATACTGAACACTTTTATTCGAATAGTTTTCTAACTATTTAAATAGTTCAGGTCCTTGATTGTGCTGAATGCCGATACTGAACAAAGTTATTCGAATAAATTTATATTTATTCGAATAGTTCAGGATGACCAAAAATCCTATGTGTGTCAAGTCGCAAATTTATTCGAATAAAACTACAATTCTTCAAATAAAACATTGTAGATTGCCAGATCTTCAAGAAATCATCCAAATGAATGATTTTTAATGAAGAACTCAAGATTCCCCCTTAATATAAGCTTCATATGGAGTAAGATGTGTGGGTGGGTAGGAACCTGCAAAAAAGAATTAAGGCCACTCTGATTCATAAGTTAATACCAAATTCAATTAAAAAATATATAATATAGGAAACTTAATCAATAGCAATTATTCCTAGAGCATTCTTAATACGACAAAAATTCTCAGGGTCCAAAGGTTTGGTAAAAATGTCGGCCAACTAATTTGTTGTATCGACAAACTCAATGTCAACAACACTCTTTTGGACATGGTCTCTAATGAAGTGATGTCGGATATCAATATGCTTAGTACGAGAATGGTGAACAGGATTCTTTGTAATATTTATGGAATTCATATTATCACATCGCGAGGAAATATGATCAAGTACAAGGCCATAGTCCAAAAGTTGTTATTTCATCCATAGAATTTGGGTGCAACAACTCCCTGCAGCGATGTATTCAGCCTCGGTGGTGGACAAAGCAACGCTAACTTGTTTCTTACTAATCCAAGAAGCAAGCGAACAACCGAAAAGCTGACAAGTTCCGCTCGTACTCTTTCTATCCATTTTGCAACCGGCAAAATCAGAATCTGAATACCCAACTGGAGTACATGTTGAACCATTGGGATACCAAAGTCCCAAGTTCAAGGTGCCTCTAATATACTTAAGGATACATTTGACAGCAGTCAAATGTAATTCCTTAGGGTTTGCTTGATATCTAGCACACATACAAACAGTAAACATAAAATTGTGTCTACAAGTGGTTAAATATAATAAAGAACCAATCATACATCGATACCGTTTGACATCAACTAACATACCACTTTCATCTTTATTAAGAGAGCATTGAGAACTCATTGGGGTAAACATTTCTTTTGAATCATCCATTTCAAATTTCTTGAGAAGCTCTTTGGAATATTTTGTTTGGCTAAAAAATGTCCCATGTTCAAGTTGTTAAATTTGAAGACCAAGGAAGAAATTTAGTTCTCCCATCATTGACATTTCGAACTCCCCTTGAATAATCTTTGTATAGGTGACGAATGATTTGTTAAAATTTTGCCAAGTAGACTCGTCATATGTCGCGATTTTGAGAGTTCAACTCGCAAATTTTATCTATAAAGTAAAGATTAAGAACCACTACACATATCACAGGATCAATTGACTCGTGCATTGAAGTTTATCCCGCTGGTGTAACCACATTAGAATATGTGCATGAGGCAAACCTCTCTTTTGAAACTCAACAATGTCTAAACCTGCACACAATTAATATATTCAAATGGTGATACTTTAAATTTCAATGTCAAAACTACAACAATTTTATTATTTAAATGGAACTAAAATAGAAAACTTTAAAATTATATCTAACTACTTCACGAGATATAAGTCATTCTCATAATGATCCAATTTCGTTTTAAAGATTCTAAATTCAATGTTAGGTCTATCTTCAACTCTATATTTTCTTATTGTCATATAAATTTATTTGAGGAATTTGTGTGTAAGAAATCTGAAATTTAATTTCCATAAAATAAGTTTTTTTGTTAACTAATTCTTTAAAAATTACTTGCTGACATGGCAAGTAACATTAAATTTAACATTAAATTTAAGTGTATTTTTTAATAATGTTTTTATAAATAAAACTCCACCAAATTTAAGTGTTTTTTAAGAGTGAAACTAATTACTTTTTCAATAATTGACAATCTGGTAATAATTGAACAATAAATTATTCTACATAATGGAGCTAATTTATTTACTTCATAACTCACTACATTTTTTTGTAAGTTGTAATTATTTTTTCTTGAGTGGCACTACAAATTATTTCTCCAAAATAATAATTAAAAAGTTTGGAAAATGGCACAATATTTTTCTCTCTCTAAAACAACACTAAATAATATTATAACTTACAACAATTTTTATACATTGCAATTTCTTTTTTGAGCGATACTCGCAATTATTTTTTGATTATCTAATATTATATTTCTACCGGAACATCAAACAGAATTTGTAAATTGTTATATTTTTTTAAAAAAATTGAGACAATTCTCTAACAAGAGTATATCATTATATTTGTAAAAACATAAAATTTAAAAATAAAAAAGTAAATTTGCCTATTATTTGCAAAAAAAGAAGCATTTTCAAATAATTCCGTTAAGTGGGCGTTAATTTTTTAACGACGACCCAAAACTCACATACATGCGAAGAGATGAGATTATATTTGGTGACAGTGAAGAATAATACTCCCTCTGTCCCCTATAGATCTTCCCAATAGCCCTTTTTCTTTGTCCACAATAGATTTTCTCATTTCGTTTTTTAACAATTAAAATACCACAACTACTCCCACTTACTTTATTTATTACACCTCGCCCACCTCATTTAATACACTCCACCCATTTTCATTAAGGGTATTATGGTAAACTTTCACTTTTTTTCAACTCTCCTTAAAACCACCAAAAGTCAAAATGAAAACATCTTAGGGGGACGGGGGGAGTATTATTTTTGAAAAAATGTGAAAAGATTGGATTATTTAAATACTTTTTCTTATATATGAAGATAACACACTTATGTCTATCAACAAAAGTTGATGGGGCATGCTAGAGGTACACCAAAATAAGGCATTCTATTTGTACATCAAGCAAATACAGAAACTTATTATCCGTGATCCAAAGACACTAAAAAGTGTGTTTGTATGTGTTTACGTGTGTACAAATGTGGTATTCCATCATTTACCATTTTGTGTGGCAAATTATACTGTACATCCGGCTGTACGGGAAGAACCGTACAACCGGTAATTAATTAGGGCGTACGGGGACCTGCTGCAAGAACGGCCGAATGGATCGGCGATGAAGGAGGTTGTGCGATGGGACTCGTTGGATTCCTGATCGGCGAGTACATGATGAAGATCGAGGTTGTTTGGAAGTCTCATCGGCAATTGAACGATGAAGGTCTGATCAGCGACAGCTGCTTGGATATGCGAAGATCTGATCAATTTTGCTACCAGTTGCTCGCGATGGTCTTTCGCACTTCCTAGAGATCTTTTCTTCCACTCACAACCACATATCATTAATTCATTATATGAATGGTAGGTTGTTGTTTAAGATTGAGTACTAGGTTATATGGGAATGAATACTATTGTGTTTTAGAATGAATATTATGTTATTCGTAAATGAATATTGAACAAAATTGTGAAAGTGAGTACGACGTTATTTCGGAATGAGTACTGCGTTATCTCAAAATGGGTACCACGTACGTTTTTCAAATGAACCATTATGCTTGTGCGAGAATGAGTACTACATGGATGTACCTATCTCTAGGTACATCCGGATGTACCATATACCAACTCATTTTGTGTACCCATAAGTAAGTAGATAATACTATTTGTACTTTGAGAATTTATATCCCATTTTGTACACCGTAGAAATGCACTTGCATTTTTTATTGATGTAATGCTAATTTTTGTTAAAGGAGGTAAATTTTTGTTAAAGCAATTGATAGACTTGATACGGATTGTCTCGATTGTAGGGGTGGGCATTCGAGCCAAGTTTTGTATAAACCGGACTCGGCTTGTTTTTATTAAAACGGTCCGGGCCGGAACGGGTTTTCGAAATTTTAAAATTGAAACCGGACCTAACCCGGCTTGTTTGAAACGGGCCGATTCCACAAGTCAACGGGTCCTAACCTATCATGATACTAACATTCTCCAAAACAAATAGAAATTATAGAATAATACCTTCAAGGGTAATTGGATGGTGGATTATAAGGAATTGAGGTGTGAATAATTACAGGCCACACGTCCACATACAAAACTGACGTAGAGGGATAAATGAAAATAAAACAATTGCATAAATGAAACACATCCACATATATAAAACACTTCCACATAATTGCAGGCCATACGTCCTGGAAGGACCGAAAGATTGAATGGCTTAGGCGGGTATATCCGTATTTTTACTAAAAATAATATTAAAAATAATATTGGGATTTAAAAAAACGGTCCGATCCGGGTCCAATATAATTTCAAAATGGAAAACCGAATCGACCCTAAAAACTATAAGGACCAGACCGACCCGGACCGTTTTAAATTTTTGAAAAGACTACCCGGACCTAACTCGGACCGAGCCTGGCTGTCAGGTTCCAACTTGTGTTCCTGGACCCTATTGCCCACCCCTGCTCGATTGTCTTACTGTCTTAGCATCTTGAAGATGAACGCTCCGCTTGTAGCTCCGTCTATTTTCCGCTCCGGCTTCTGCATCCCCCTTTTACGGATTTACAATAATCAATTCAATAATATCTTTAAGTACAGTGATGCAATCGTCTCCAACCTTCCTCCTTCCAGACCTTTCTTTTCGCTCACCTCCCCTGCTCTTCGTTTGCCTCCTCTCACCATGGCATCTTCCACTAAAACGCCTACCCAGGTTCAGCTCTGTGTCTAATTATGTATTCCTGATTTCCTGGTACCAAACAATTTTATGTAATCATTAAATAATCACATCAATTTTCATGTAATCTATTTTTAATTTAGGGGTTCAGTGAGGCTGGCAATGAAGTTAATGTTTTCCAGTTAATTCAAGTTCATCAGGTACTGATTTTAATTATGGTATTTTTGTAGTAGTATTTATTTTGAAGTGAAGATGTATTTTCTGTGTGTTTTTATATGCATTAATACACTGGGGTGCATTAGATAAGGACTTATGGAATTGACAAGGTTTTATATGGCAGGAAAAAGCTGCCAGACTGCCTCCAATTGAGGAAGTTAGGACGGTTCTCAATTATAGCCTGCGTGGAGTGCTCTCCACTTTCTCACAGGTTGTTTGTTTCCTTGCAATGCACATCCCTTAACAGCTTCTCAGTGTGGTTTCTTTGTGTCTTAGCTAGACTTTGATCGTTTTCTAACATGTGTAGTGAGGGTGACCTATTCCTTAATTGATATGAGTTTCATAATATCATATTTTTGGAGTTACATAATTCATATGAGAATCGAAGACCTAAATGTTATTTTCCAAAGTTGCTTTATAAGTGCATTTTTGGTCATGCATTGACTTGATGCAGTATGCTCATGGTTAGCAGAAATATGAAGGATATCCATCAGGTTCCATGGTTGATTTCGCTTGTGATGCCAACGGATCTCTAATATTATCAATCAGCAATTTGGCAGCGCATTCAAAGGTTTGTTTCTTATTTTTGGATTTGGATCTTATAGCTAGAGTTATGCAAATGTGAAGACTACATACGGAGTACTTCATAAACCATTCCCTTAAAACAGGTCAAGTTTGAACTTGCTTTAAATGTGGATTTTGATATACTGAAATATATTTATTTTCCATCTAATGAAGATCGCACATGAAGGGCGCTTGGTGTAAAACATTTACACTATGCTTTCTACATCAAGTTATAGTGTTAATTATCTCTATAAAATTTATTGACATTGAAAAAAATAGAGTAAATTCTATAAATAGTCTTTCATAGCAAGGAGTTTTCCATACATAGTCCCCAATTCTAAGATATTACATTCATAGTCCTCGATATTTGAGAACTTTTCCAAAATCAGTCCTTAATGCTATATTTGGTTCATGGAAAAGGAAAAGAAAAACATGGGTTCTCTCATTTTTTGCACCAAAATGGGAAGCAATGGTGTTTCCCTCGTAGTTTATCTTCTCTTCTCATTTTGTTTTTCATCCACTTTTCTTTTCTTTTCCTTTCTAACCAAACATAGCGTTAATGACTATATGTGGAAAATAATATTTTGGTCAAAGGACTGATTGAACTTGTAATCGGCTCCTAAACCCCAAATGTAGAGGACCATGAACCTAAGTCCGAACTAGTTAGGTGCTGATAATGATAATTATATAGATTGCACTTGTAATTGGCATCAACAAATTTTTGATTTTACATCAAGTCCTTTTGGAATTTTTTGCTTTGCATCAACAAATTTTTGATGTTACATCAAGTCCTTATCCAGGATCTCTTAGCTAACCCCAAGTGCTCATTGCTTGTTGCAAAAGATCCCGAGGATAAGACCGATTTAATCATAAATGTGTATGGTGACATTGTTCCTGTAAGTTTTCACTTTTATTCAATTTCTCTCTTTCTGTGTCCAGTGGGTCATCTTGCTTGCCCTTGATATTATGATGTGTGCTCTCTATAATGCAGGTTTCTGAGACAGAGAAAGAGGATGTCCGTGCTGCATATTTGGTTAGGCACCCTGATGCATTCTGGGTAAGTTTTGAATTATTTTTTTCTCGAATGCAATAGTTCACCTGTAATTTCATTTGGATATATTTCTTTTTCGAAGGTTGACTTTGGAGATTTCCATTTCCTAAGAATTGAACCCAAGGTTGTGCGATATCTATCTGGTGTTGCAACTGCTTTATTGGGATCAGGAGGTTTGTAGCTTTTGTATTTCCAAAGATTTTACTTCCAGTCCTTTCCATCTTCGTTGTTTTTTTCAGGTATTTGATTTCCCCTATTCTTGGGATAATCTCTCTTGTAATGTACGGAGTATGAACTCTCTCAGTCTCTTGTGTTCATCATATAATTGTTTTAAAGCCAGCAAATCACATCGCTCCATTTTTTCAGAGTTCAGCAAAGAGGATCTCAGAGCTGCAAAAATTGATCCCATTTACCAATTCTCTAAGCCAATCACAGTATTACCACTTAGTCACTATTATTTTGAACTTTTGAAGCAGGCTGGGCGTACATCAATTTCAAAGTAATATATCTAATTATGTAATTCCCTTGATTTGTCAGTCCCACATGAATAAAGATCACATGGAAGATACCAAACTGATTGTGCGGCACTCAACATCTGTTCCAGTAAGTGTGACTAATCATTTCTCAGGACGTGCTATCTAATACTCTCTCTCCTTCTATCCCAAAAAAGGTTCTACATCTCCTGTTTGGTTCGCCCCAAAAACATTACACTTTCCTCTTAAGGAAAGAATGTTGAAGTTTATACTGCATATTATGTTTCTCTCTTTGCATATATTTCAATTCCACAATTTCACTTTACTTAATCTCCTTGTCCAGTCAATGTGGGTCCTTTTATTGGGGCAGAGGGAGTACATCATTACAATTGGCTGGTAGTTGTTGTGGAGTTGTGGGACCAACTTACCTGGTAAAAACATGGATAATGTTCAAAACAACAACAACAACAACAACAACCCGGTTGATAATGTTCAAAACAAGAAAAATCAATTGGCTGGTAGTTGTTGTGGAACATAGATGATATACCTGGTAGAATTGGTTTCGAATAGAGATGCTAATTGCTAGATAGTCTTCATATGACTTTTTTTTATCTGAGAGAGACAGTGACACACCGTAGTATATGTGTCTAGCCTTTCATTTTCCATGTGTATTGCTCATATGGTAATATTATTTTCAGTTTAAACACTTCCCATTCCAATAGTACAGTACCAAACATTTCCAAAGTCATATTGCTCACAAATTGTGAAAATGCTCTGTACATCTAGAGTAAAACCTTTCATTCTTTCCCAGGTAGAGTTCGCTTGGATGCTGGATGTGGACAGTCTTGGATTCTATGTTAAGGTGATTTGAGTTACCAGCTTCCTTGTCTATACATTCAAATATTGAATGATGATGAGATAATCTGTTATTTGTTAGATTTAATCGGGTTTGTTCACATATTACTGAATGGGTAATGAGTCGATGTTTGGGTCAGTTAGTATAGAGTCAATTAGTGTGGTGTCGTTTAGTGTGTTTTACATATTTAATTAATTTAAATAAAAAACAATAGGGCAGTTTCTAAAAGGCAGTTATGGGTAGTTTCTATTGTTAATAGGTGTGTTGGTTTGTAATAATTGTGTTGGTTAGTAAAAGTCATGTTGGTCTGTTCTCTATATATATTTAGTGAACACAAATATTCCTGTACAGTTTTTACATCAATAAAAATTCTATTCTGCATACCAATCTGTTCTTCCTATCAGTTTTCTACATTTGGTATCAGAGCGGTGTGAATTGTTGATCAGGGGGTGTACGATCTACCACAAAAGGGATCCGCCAGAGCATTTCAACTTCCTCGACAATAGATCAGAAATCTTTGACCAGATTTCTTCCTCGCCTAGAAAAAGAACATCAAGTTGCTAGTTTTTTTTCTTTGGCAGAAGAATTCCAACCAAAAGGCGCGTGAAAAACGAATAAGCGGGGTAGCTTTCGTTTAGCGGCTTGAAAGACGGAAAAGCAGGGGCTTGTCTTCTGGTTGATGGTCGGTCGATTGCAGGTGGCTTACGACCCAGGAAGGAATCAAAGTCTAAGATTTTTGTGAAAATTGTCATAGGAATTAAAGTCGTGCAATGGAAGACAATAGGCAGATTGTGACTACAAGGGAGAATAGTTCACTATCTTTTATGGTTCCAATTCTAAGTGCTACAAACTACACTATTTGGGCTGTGAAGATCAAAGCAATTTTTAATGTTAATGGGATTTGGGAGGTGATCGAACCAGGAACAGAAATTGATCCAAAGAAGAACAATATGGCAATAGCATATCTGTTTCAAGCTTTGCCGGAAGAGATCGTGTTACAAGTTGCCCAGTTTACTGAAGCAAAAGAAATTTGGGATGCTTTGAAGACTCGCTTTGTTGGTGTTGACAGGGTTAAAGCGGCGCGATTACAGACACTTGAATCAGATTTTGAGAATCTAAAGATGAAGAACAATGAATCACTTGATGATTTTGCTGGTAAAATTAGTCAACTTGCAACACAAGCAAACAACCTTGGGTCTGCATTTGAAGACAAAAGATTGGTTCGAAAGCTTTTGGGTTCTGTACCTGAAAAGTTCATGCAGATCGTTGCTGCAATTGAACAGTTTGCCGACATTAAC